TATTATTGAATAATCCATTTGATCAATAATTATAAACATTTTTACAATTTATAATTGAAAATTAATCTTATCAAATTAGATGGTAAAATAAATACTAATTTGCTGTGCATTGCAGGTTTACTTAATAGTTCTAATTAATCAAATGAAAGTTTATAATTATAAACATGTTTATAATTTATAAAAACAAGATTGATCTTATTGAATATTAACCATTAAATGGTAAAATAAACTAGAATATACTAAGACATGTTTAGGAAAGTTTATAAATTATAAACATGTTTCTTAATTATAAATACAAAGAACATTACCCTGTAAAGGAATGTCAAACGAGAAACTTGAATCGCATTGATACCTCCCACTACTTTTGCTGCTGTACTAAACCCAATTGTCCAGTGTGAGCTGTAGTATTGATGCAAATGACTCCATCAGCTGTTCCTGACACAACATACTCCATTGAATGCATGTACCTACAGTTAAACAATGGTTGAAAGTGTAATTGAGTTAGAAAAGAGTAATGGTTAGATAGTAAATAATCTAGAATATCCAAGTATATTCGAGGTATATCCACTACCACCTTAAGCAAACCAAAAATATACTAGAAAGTGTTTAGGAAAGTTATAGATTATAAATATGTTTAGATACAAGATTAATCTAAATGAATAACAATTATTTTGTAGAACTTAATATATTTCACTTTTGCTTATGTAAAAAATAAATTAATATAAATAAAAATTAATATAATTAAATATTAATATTAAGAAGTATAAAAATTGGCTTAACGATGCACCTTCTCATCATCCACATATGCCACCTCACTTTGTTCTACAGGCTCATTGTTGTCTACCCATAATCACTAGCAGCAGCCAAGGATTCCAAGAGTGTGGTGGCCCTAGAGTGTGATGGGCTGCTCTTGGGAGCCTTTCCTTGATCAAGACTCTAGGCTGTTCGTCAAGGAGATGATTAAGTATCTGGTGTCGGGACTTCCAATTTACACCTATGATCGCCAAGTGAGGAGGAGAACAGTGATCCCGACCTCGCAACTGCTTTACTGAAGGGATGAGAGTCAAGAGTGAAAGTTCAGTGAAAGTCTGCTGGTCAAAGACGCGATAGCTCCTTTGGCTGACCCTGGTGGTTTGAACTTTGACTATTATGCTTCCCATTCGAGAAGAAATTGAAGAGATCAACGCGAGAATTTCGTATATGCTTTTGACCCGGTGGCAAACTTCGAAAGCGATACTGCTATAAATCCTCTGCCACAATCTCAGCATTCCACCAGCAATCTACACGAAGGGAGAAACAACAAGGGGAGAAGTTTTTTACGAAGCGATCATCTGATTCATTGCAACCATACTCGCCAAGGAGGAGCTGATCGATCGATAGGCGTATCAACAATTGTCCAAGCCCATCAGAGCGAGCATCGAGATCATGGAACGAGTTTCATTTTCACTGTCATTCAAGAGAAGAACGTTGGAGAGAGAAGGAGATTCATTGTCATTCTCATTCAAGAGAAGAACGTTGGAGAGATCTGAAGGAGATGGTCATGGCGCGCGCGTTGTGGAGCTGGAGGAGACGCAGCTGGTGCTGACCCCAGGCTGGCGGGATGCATGCCACTGGAGTCCGCTCCTCCCGCCCGCCAACGCCTCCATCGACAAGCGGCTCCGGCGGGAGATCATCCGATACGGCGAATTCGCGCAGGCTTGCTACGACGGCTTCGAATACAGCGAGGGCTCGGAATTCTGTGGAGACACAAAGTTCTCCAAGGAGGAGCTCCTCCAATCCGTGGGACTCCCAAGCACGGGATACGAAATCACGGCCTATCTCTACGCAACATCGCAGCTGGGCTTGCCCAGCTTCTTCAAGCGCTCCAATTCCAACGCCCAACCCGGCGACGACTCGTGGACGTCGGACACCAACTGGATGGGCTTCGTGGCGGTTGCCACGTCGGACGAGGCCATCCGACGGTTGGGACGCCGCGACATTGTGGTGGCCTGGCGCGGGACGGTGACGCAGCTCGAGTGGATCGAGAACCTCAAGGATCTCCTCCGCCCCACCGGGCTCGACCCCACGGATCACAACACCAAAGGCGTGAAAGTGGAGACGGGATTTCTCAGCATCTACACGTCTCCAGTCCCCGGCGATCAGGCCGGGATGAGCGCGAGGCAGCAGCTCCACTCGGAGATCAAGCGATTGGTCGGGCTCTACCAGGGCGAGCAGCTGAGTATGACGTTCACGGGCCACAGCCTGGGTGGCGCGCTTGCACTCCTCAGCGCCTACGACGTGACAGAGCTTGGGCTGCCCGGGAGCAATACCCCGGTGTCCGTCTTCACGTTCTCGGCACCCCGAGTTGGGAACCGGGGTTTCAAGAACAGGTGCCTCGAGCTCGGGCTCAAAGTCCTCCAGACACGCAATGGCGCAGACCTGGTGCCCAAAGTTCCAGGGGTGATTGTCAACGAGGACAGCTGTGACATCATCTCGCTCATCTTCCACAGGTTCCCATGGGCCTACACCCATGTTGGCACCGAGTTTGAGCTCAGCAGCGACATCTCTCCGTTTCTGAGGGAAGATGGTGGCTTGACCGATCTGCACAACTTGGAGGCCTTGCTTCACCTGGTTGATGGCTACCAAGGGCCGAGCAAGCCCTTCAGTGTCTCAGGCACCCGGGATATCGCGCTGGTGAACAAGAGATCGGACTATCTCAAGGCAGAGCTTGGAGTTCCAGCAAACTGGTGGTTTAAGGACACCAAGCAGTAGAGCCCGTCTTTCTTCCATCACGATCACGGTGGTGGACTTTTACAAACTCATTCTCTTACGGAGGCCTCACGCTAATCAGTAGGACCAAGCTCTGTTTGGCACGTATATCTGAAAGGTGGCACGCTTGCAATGGCCTATAGAGTTTTGGTTCGAGAAGCCTCCTTGAAGTTCATTGGACCGAATCTTGTAAATATCTTGATTTGAAAACTTACTTTACATTTTGCTATTCCATGACACAAACAATTTGCTTGCATTGTTTCCCTTCTTGAGCTCCTTGGCCACAAGGGTGTGCGGTGCAGCTGAGGAGATCGATGATGTAGCTGTAGTGAGCGATGTTTGGATGCATGGGGTTGGCCGATTCCTCGATGATAGCAGGAGTATCTGGCAGTTGCGGACTGTGTTGTTTGCTCTGGTTTTGAATTTGCTTTGTATTGCAAGCCTTATTTCAATACTTCCTAGTGCAATGGCGTGAGGAACAAACAAGAGTTGCTTCGTGGAAATGCACAAACTTTTTGGAGCTCGCAACAGCAGCTGCAGCAGCAGCAGCAGCAGAAATGTCAGCGGCGGATCCAGTTCCAGACGAAATTGCAGACAGAGCAGCAGCTTGTGCAACTTTTGCTTGCAGCTATTGCTTTGAGTTTGAAAATGTGCTGGCAGGACAAACGTGAGCTGCCTACCTGAAGGTCTCCTTTGTTCATTTCCGTCCAGAAGACAGTTTTCAATTGCGGCATTGTTCAAGTAAGCATTCATCTGTAGGCAAAATACATGAACTTGAGATACGACTGTTGAACGAGGCCTCCATTTTCTTAAAACTAAAAACTAAGAAGCAGCTTATGGAGGAGACCTCGGGCTCTTGGCAGCATCTTGGGCCTCGTTGTTGTGCACCAGCTTTGTGACCTGGAACACAGCGTCAAGAGCCCGAGTGCGAGCTATGGAGCTGGGGGAATGCCCAACAAGGGCATCTGGGAGAGGAACATCGTTTCCTGGAACTCCATCCTGGCACCATTCTCCCATCGAACGTTGTGTCGTGGACATCAGTGATCTCTGCATGTAGTCATTCCGATGCAAGCGATTGACCGCTTTCGTGAGATGATCCCCGACCAAGTTGCGTATGTGAGTGCTTTGGTTGCTTGCAGCCACGCAGGCAAGGGACGCGAGTTCTCGTTTCGATGAGCAATGACTGTGGATTCAAGCCTCAGCCCAGACACTACTGCTCGATGCTGGATCTGTGGTGGTATATCCCTACAAGTTTGCTTAAGCACACCAAAAATAAATTATAAAGAGTTTAGGAAAGTTATAAATTATAAACATGTTTGGAAATTATAAATGCAAGATTAATCTAAATGAATAACAATTATTTGGTAGAATTAAATATATTTCACTTTTGCTTAAGCAAACCATAAATTATTATAAATACAAGATTAATCTAATTAAATATTAATATTAATAAGTATATCTAATTACATTTTAAGCAAACCAGTAAATATTAGAAACGTTGTAGCGGTTCTAAAATGGGCATAAGCCCAGGCTGAGTCAAAACCCTCACCGTGATTTGATCATTGCGCGTTGCACCGTTCCAAGCCAATCCTCTTCCCCACCACTTTTTTTGCCCCTGCATCCATTCTTCCTGCCAGGTCGGATCCATCTGTGTCCATCTCATTGTTCACATGTGCCCGATCGCCAGCAGCAGCCAGGGATTCCAAGAGTGTGGTGGCCCCAGAGTGTGATGGCGCCACTCTTGGGAGCCTTTCCTTGATCGAGACTCTGGGCAATTCGTCAAGGAAACCTGGCGTCAAGACTTCCAATCTAAACCTTTGATCACCAGGTGAAAAGGAGGAGAACACTGATCCCGACCTCTCAACTTGTTGCTTTACTGGACGGATGAGAGGTGAAAGTTCAGTGAAAGTCTGCTGGTCAAAGACGCGATACCTCCTTGTCTATAGTTGACCCTGGTGGTTTGAACTTTGACTATTATGCTTCCCATTCGAGAAGAAATTGGAGAGATCAACGCGAGAATTTCGTATATGCTTTTGACCCGGTGGCAAACTTCGAAAGCGATACTGCTATAAATCCTCTGCCACAATCTCAGCATTCCACCAGCAATCTACACGAAGGGAGAAACAACAAGGGGAGAAGTTCCTTAGGAAGCGATCATCTGATTCATTGACACCATACTCGTCAAGGACGAGCTGATCGATCGATAGGCGTATCAACAATTGTCCAAGCCCATCAGAGCGAGCATCGAGATCATGGAACGAGTTTCATTGTCACTGTCATTCAAGAGAAGGACGTTGGAGAGAGAAGGAGATTCATTGTCATTCTCATTCAAGAGAAGAACGTTGGAGAGATCTGAAGGAGATGGTCATGGCGCGCGCGTTGTGGAGCTGGAGGAGACGCAGCTGGTGCTGACCCCAGGCTGGCGGGATGCATGCCACTGGAGTCCGCTCCTCCCGCCCGCCAACGCCTCCATCGACAAGCGGCTCCGGCGGGAGATCATCCGATACGGCGAATTCGCGCAGGCTTGCTACGACGGCTTCGAATACAGCGAGGGCTCGGAATTCTGTGGAGACACAAAGTTCTCCAAGGAGGAGCTCCTCCAATCCGTGGGACTCCCAAGCACGGGATACGAAATCACGGCCTATCTCTACGCAACATCGCAGCTGGGCTTGCCCAGCTTCTTCAAGCGCTCCAATTCCAACGCCCAACCCGGCGACGACTCGTGGACGTCGGACACCAACTGGATGGGCTTCGTGGCGGTTGCCACGTCGGACGAGGCCATCCGACGGTTGGGACGCCGCGACATTGTGGTGGCCTGGCGCGGGACGGTGACGCAGCTCGAGTGGATCGAGAACCTCAAGGATCTCCTCCGCCCCACCGGGCTCGACCCCACGGATCACAACACCAAAGGCGTGAAAGTGGAGACGGGATTTCTCAGCATCTACACGTCTCCAGTCCCCGGCGATCAGGCCGGGATGAGCGCGAGGCAGCAGCTCCACTCGGAGATCAAGCGATTGGTCGGGCTCTACCAGGGCGAGCAGCTGAGTATGACGTTCACGGGCCACAGCCTGGGTGGCGCGCTTGCACTCCTCAGCGCCTACGACGTGACAGAGCTTGGGCTGCCCGGGAGCAATACCCCGGTGTCCGTCTTCACGTTCTCGGCACCCCGAGTTGGGAACCGGGGTTTCAAGAACAGGTGCCTCGAGCTCGGGCTCAAAGTCCTCCAGACACGCAATGGCGCAGACCTGGTGCCCAAAGTTCCAGGGGTGATTGTCAACGAGGACAGCTGTGACATCATCTCGCTCATCTTCCACAGGTTCCCATGGGCCTACACCCATGTTGGCACCGAGTTTGAGCTCAGCAGCGACATCTCTCCGTTTCTGAGGGAAGATGGTGGCTTGACCGATCTGCACAACTTGGAGGCCTTGCTTCACCTGGTTGATGGCTACCAAGGGCCGAGCAAGCCCTTCAGTGTCTCAGGCACCCGGGATATCGCGCTGGTGAACAAGAGATCGGACTATCTCAAGGCAGAACTTGGAGTTCCAGCAAACTGGTGGTTTAAGGACACCAAGCAGTAGAGCCCGTCTTTCTTCCATCATAATCACAGTGGTGGACTTTTACAAACTCATTCTTTTACGGAGGCCTCACGCTAATCAGTAGGACCAAGCTCTGTTTGGCACGTATATCTGAAAGGTTGGTTGCCAGGCCTCACGGCCTAGCACTCTATAGAGAATAGAACAATCCCTAAGATGGATCTCACACAGGATGGGAAAGAAAACTAAGAAAGCCAGGTGGCTGTACGCCACGTTCTAACAGAAGTACGATTGAAAACTGTCACCTGGACGGGAATGAACAAAGAAGACCTTCAGGTAGGCAGCTCACGTTTGTCCTGCCAGCACATTTTAAAACTCAACTGGAAGGCAAGGAAGGAGTAATAGCTGCAAGCAAAGCTTCACAAGCTGCTGCTCTGTCCGCAATTTCGTCTGGAACTGGATCCGCCGCTGACATCGCTGGTGCTGCTGCCGTCGCGAGCTCCAAAAGGTTTGTGCATTTCCACGAAACAACTCTTGTTTGTTTCTCACGACATTGCACTAGGAAGTATTGAACAAATTCAAAACCAGAGCAAACAACACAGTCCGCAACTGCCAGATACTCCTGCTATCATCGAGGAATCGGCCAACCCCATGCATCCAAACATCGCTCACTACAGCTGCATCATCGATCTCCTCAGCTGCACCGCACACCCTTGTGGCCAAGGAGCTCAAGAAGGGAAACAATGCAGGCAAATTGTTTGTGTCATGGAATAGCAAAATGTAAAGTAAGTTTTCAAATCAAGATATTTACAAGATTCGGTCCAATGAACTTCAAGGAAGCTTCTCGTTCTCTCATCATGGTATCAGAGCATTAGGTTAAATTTTTTTGGCACGATCAGTGCCATAGACGCTAGGACAGGATGGCATCGTCTTCTTCCTCCAAGCTGTTATCTGTGAGTCGCACTTGGCCAGGTCATTTCCTCATCTCCAAAAATAGCTCATGGTCAAAAGTTGAGTGATTCGTTGCTGCCAAATCGAGCCAAAGAACACGGCTTGTGGTATCCACCTCTACTCCTCGAGTCATCCATGACAAGCCATTAGCCGCAGCGGAAGAGTTTTCATCGTCACCATCATTTCGGCGTCGACTTTTAAAATGTGGTGCCGCACCAGAGGAAGATCCACGCTCAGCTTTCAATTTTGTCTCACAACGAGCTTATGTGGAGGAAGTATTGCGCAGGTTTGGGCTTGAGAACCTTCTGTTACTCCAATGCAAGCAAGTATTCATTTGTCTGCTGAGATGTCTCCTAGTGAGGCTGAGAAGCAACAGATGGAGCTTCTGCCATATCGCCAGGTCGTTGGATGCTTAATCTACTTGGCTGTTTGTACCCACATTGCTTATTCTGTGGGAGAGGTGGCTAAGCATATGGCGAATCCAGGCTGGCAACATTGGCAAGCTGTGAAGCGCATCTTGCGCTATCTCAGAGGCACTGCTAATTTTGGCTTGAGCTATCAACGGCAGGTTTCTGGTCACGCATTTATTTTGGAAGGCTATGCCGATGCAGATTATGCAGGGGATTTAGACGACAGGAAGTCTACATCCGGCTATTGCTTTTTCCTTGGTGATGGAGTGGTAACTTGGAGAGCGGCAAGCTGTGAGAGTATCTAGCTTTGACAGGAGCAGCACAGGAGGCGAGCTGGCTTCGTGAGCTTGTAGCGAGTATGCAGCTACGGCAACAAGGACCCACGGTCATTCTCTCGGACAATCAATCGGCAATTGCTCTTTCAGAGAATCCGAGATATCACTCAGGACAAAGCATATACAAATAAAATACCACTACATCAGAGAACAAGTGATGGGAGGAGAGCTGACATGTGGCACTGAGGACCAGGTTATTGATATATTCACTAAGGCTCACTAAGGCTCTTCCACCTAGTATTTTCTCCAAACATCGAGAAGCACTTGGAATATGTGACCTGTCCTCACAGGGCTCCGGCTAGGTGGGCGGGAATGGTCACGCTGGTGATAAAGATCCAGGTGTACCAGTGTTAGAGCCACGTGGCATACAGCCACCTGGCTTGAGTCGCATTCCTTTAGTTTAGGGCTTTCTTAGTTTTCTTTCCCGTCCTGTGTGAGATCCATCCCAGGGGATTGTTCTGGGAGTGTTCTCATTCTCTATAGAGCGCTAGACCGTGAGGCCTGGCTTCTCTCATCAACTTCTTTGGTGTTGTTCAAGTAAGCATTCATCTGTAGGCAAAGGACATGAACTTGAGATACAACTGTTGAACGTTATTTACCTCCTCGTCGTCGAGGTCCGACAAAGTTTCTTCCACACCTGAGTTGCCCAGAGTTTCCGGAATTGTACTTTTTTGAAAATCTTCCAAGAAACTTTCGGACATGGCTAACTGATCACATAGTTAAATACATAAGCAAACAAGAGATGCAGTACCTTCGAAGCCTTTCCTTTACCATGCACAGGCGATTCTTCAGGGTACTCCTTCAGCATCAAAATTTTGGGCTCGTTGAAATGCAGACTCTCCTTCCAGATACTTTCCTTTCATAAACTGAAAAGCAGATGAGTAGGGGAAAAAAAAAAAAAAGCCTTGTCAAAGCAGCTTCTGCACAGAGGCGCACCTTGTTCTTTATGTTCGCAAAGAATTTCGGCTAAATGTCCTTTGAAATTAACAGGCTCCTGAAGTTCCAACTTTTTTGCTTTAACCTCGAACTCCTCGGGCTACAAGTTTTTTATTTAAAATGGCAGAGACTTGTCGAGTTTGGGAATACAGAATCAGGAAGCTTGACGGTTATTTAGATTGTTCTACTATATTGCCGCGCAAACATGGACAACACTCACCTGCATGCAGACATAGGCATCAAGCAGCGAAAGTAAGTGCAGTCTTATCACCAAAACCGTGAATTTGAGCCGCAACAAAACTCCACTTGGTGAAGCGAATTCAAAATGTAATCGAGCTGACCTGAATCCAATCCCGCTTCATGCTGACAGAAATTCTCCCGCTTCATGCTGACAGAAATTCTTAACGCGGGATTCGCAATGGCATCATCTATCCGTCCGAAGGAGCCATTGCTTAATGCCAACGTCAGTCACGAGACAGTAGAATAGCTGAAAAACTCATACTATCTAAATAGACTCGGATCGACAGGCCTTGCCATCATGGGATGTTCTTCTAGCCTCGGCGCTTGTTCTTGCTCATGCTTGGGAATCTTGGTCGGACTTCCAGGAGTAGAATTGGAAAGTCTTCCTTGCCAGAAACCAAAGTAAAAATCGGGGAATCGAACCCTCACCTTTGAGCCATCCGTGGCTGTGGAGCTTCATTCACATTTAAGAATAAATCGACTGGACGAGCTCTTCTGCCGTGAGAGCCTGTCTTGATCATGGTCAGCCACTCTTAAACTTGTAAATAATGATCGTGGGTAAAAACTGAAAGAAAGACCGCACAAGCAGAAACAACACTGCATCGCCCGCTAGACACTCACAGGGAAAACACTAGTGGGATTTTCACAAAATCCCGCTTAGAAAGGGGGATTTTTCCCACCCAGGATCCTAACAAGAAGAGAGCTGGCTGAGTGATAATCGTTTTAATACTCTTCGTAGTACTCTTCTTGCGTTTGCGCATAGAGTCCTCCCTCGAATCTTCTTCTTCCTCTTCCTCTTCTCCTCCTTCGTTTCCATTTTCTTGTCCATCGCATTGATATTCCACTTCTTTCTTCTCGTCCATAACAGTGAGATTGATCGCATTTCCATCTTCTGGGAGTTTTAGAGATCATTTTATGTCCACCAATCCTTGCGGATTCTCCTTTGATCGGCCTTCAATGACATCTGGACGAGGCATCGGCCCCTGACATCGCCGCTGCGCCGTCGCAAGCTCCGAAAAGGTTCGTGCACTTCAATGAAACAATTCCTGTTCCTCACGCCAGTCGAAGTCCAGGCAAAAAAAATCGAGAAAAATTGCTGAAAATAAACCTCCGGACCAGTTCCAGAGAAAATCTCTGACAGAGCCACAGCTCCTGTTTTTGAATCAAACATTGACGAACTTGATCGAGAAGAATGCTTTCGCTCATATCTCTCCGTCAAATAGCTTGTCCAGAACATCGAAGTTAACTCGTGATCTTTATGTACATAAATAAGCGAGCATATCTTTAGCAGCTTTCAAAATGTTATCAATCTACATACTCTTTCTCACCTTTACTTCCAGCATCTGACGTGCTGCCTCTGCCGCGGACTCTGCCCTGTGCATCTTCACTTGCAGCTATTATTGCTGCTTCCTTTCCAGTTCCTGTGAGTTTTAAAACACCTGACAGCTGAAGTATTAGACAAACACCTGAGGGTATTCTTGTTCATTTCCGTCCAGATGACAGTTTTCAATCGTACTTCCTCATTGTTGTTCAAGTAAGAATTCTTCTGTAGGCAAAGGACATGAACTCAATTGAGATACGACTGTTGAATGTTATTTACCTCCTCATTGTCGAGATCTGACAAAGTTTCTTCTGCATGTGAGTTGCCCAAGGTTTCTAAGTCGATGTCCTCATCAAGCTGTAGATCACATGGTTAAATACATAGAGATTCAATACCTTCAAAGCCTTTCCTTAATCACGCACACACAATTCTTTAGGGTCTTCCGAGTGAAACTCCTTCAGCTTTCTTTGCTTAGCATCAAAACGTTTTTTACCAGCTAGTTGAAGTATAGGTGGATTGGACTCTCCTTCCAAGTCCCAAGTTGGTGAAGACCCAAGTTACAAGAAAGAAAAAATAGCTCATCACAGCAGCTTTTGTAGACCAATGTAGAAATTATGCAGAAATGCTTAGAAATTATGGGATTAAGAACAATTAATACCACCTATAGATCTATCAATGCCTCGTCTTGACATTCCTCTAGATCCCGGCCCATCTACAAAAGAACTTTAATGGTCTTCTATAGCGAAGGCACCACCAGTTATAAATGATCATTAGCATCCATCCCCACAAAATAAATAAGGTTGTTTTCAAAGTGATATTAAAAATGTAAATGCTAGAATAGCAAGCCATTAATAAGTGATGTAAGATTTTCAAACCCATTTTAAAGCCTTTGAATCCATGACTCAATTTTTTGAGCCTTGCGAACATTATCAAGAGAAGGTAAATTTTGCTTTGCACTTTGTGAACACTGAATGTCAAATATAGTAACCGCCAATAGGAATCCTCATCTAGAAAATTTATAGATGCTGAAATAACAAACTCATCAAAAACATGAGAAGAGAGTGGCCCAGTAACAAACATCACAAGCACGACCACGTCTTTGCCCTTGTCCTTGGACTCAAGCAGTAGCAGCATCAACCTCCATTAGAACAGGACTATCACCCACAGAAAGTGGAGCTGAAGGACATGTAGCGAGAAGTGGAAAAAATTGACATCTCATAATGTTATGCTAAGCGAAGAGCATTGTTAAGGGTGGTAGGAGCAAGTGCATGCACAATTTTGACAAAATCTTGATAAAGTGCTAGCCACAACATTCCTATCTTGATCCGCTCTAACATATTTGGTTCCACACGAAGCAAGAGGCTTCAGAAATGAATGCCAAATTACATCACCAACTTAGATGGCCCTTTACAAAGATGATGCAATTATTAAAAGGCATCATCACAATCATTGACATATTCAAATGCGTGTTTGAAGACGTCCAAGAGAACACTCCAATCCCCATGAATGGCTGCGCTCAGACCATTGTACCATGGCAACACTGTCCCTTTGAGACATGTGGGAAACTCACGCAAACATTGAGCATCATCCCAAGAATAATATGTCCCAATCATTGTGAAGTGATCGAACTAATGGTACACATCATCCCTAGAATTCCTGCGAAAGAACTCTGGTTGAACATGAGGATTGGCACCAAGAACAGGAGGAATTGCACCACGTGTCATGAATGCCGCCATCAATTGAATTTGGTTGTTTAATTGCAATCGCATAACATCAAGCAATTATACCAATTGTTACTTTAAAGTCAAAAGAGGAGGAGATTGCTGATTTGCCATAAAGATGAATGAAAAGGAAAAAATAAAAGAAAATAAATGCAAAAAAAAGCTAAAAGGAAAAGGAGATCTAAACAATGCAAAAAGTTAGATCTAGACAATACAAAAGTTAAATCTAAATTGAAATCCTAAATCCAAGCATTCTTCAAGGACAATCAAAGGTGCCCCTCACCTCCACAAATATGAGTGTATGGAATATAGTAAGGGAATATAGAAAATGTGCATATTAATTAGCCTAAAAGTTTAGTTTGTATCAATTTGATATAGGAGCAAGTGGTCTGAATTGAAATCAATTCGATGGCTACCAAAATCCATTACACTAATATTAGTACACGCATTGTAATTGTAGAGTTGGACTTTACACTTTTAAAAATTTTAAGGAAAAAATTTTTGTTTTAAAGGGTTTTTTTAATTGTTAATATCTTATTTGAAATGCCTTTTCTTTTCACCCTCACTAAGGATTGGACAAGGAAGATATAAAAATAGTGGTGTATGGTTTAAGTGATTCAAGTTTTTTTCTAATGATTGCTAAAAATTCACTTTTACAAATCACATAAATGAATAATTTTAATAATTGAGATAATGAAAAATGTGAAATTGCATTGAAATAGAAGTGACATTATTTAAATTATAATTTATTTTTGTGTCTTCCACAAATAGCAAGTACTTGGCATTTTTCAATCCAATTGACTACCAGTGTTTCTCTAACTTTACTTTAAACAATATAAAAACTAATGTATAAAAACATCAACACCAAAATTCATCTGTGAAAGATATACTTATGTTTGCAAAGCAAGAACCAATAATTTTATCCTCATTAGCTTCAAATCCATGAAATTGAAAGTTATTCAAATTAAAGGTTAGTTTTTTTAATTATATTATGACTTATCAGTACATCTCTTAAGCATAAGTGGTTGAAATTTGGACAATTGTAAAAGGTACAATTACTTGCAAAAAAATCCAAGCAGTGAATTAGATTTTTTAACTCTTAAGTCATAACATGTATTAGTAGTCAAATGGTAACAAAGATTGAAGAGATTGAAAAGTTATTGATCATATTACAACCTAATTTTCCTTTCCTAAAGAATAAATAATAACATTACAATCATTTTTTTTCAACCTGTTTCATTGAACTTTATACCCAATTTTCCTTTGCTAAAGAATAAATAATAACATTACAATCAATTTTTTTTTCAACCTGTTTCATTGAACTTTATATATGTCATAAAAAGCAAGTTATATATGCCTGAGATTGAACTTCTAGAGTGATTGCTTTGCATATGTACTTTATCACCCAACTGTTTCCTATAAGTTTTTCAAACATGTGTGAACTAAACTGTTAGTAAAATGCTTCATATGTTGATTCTTAAATGGATTGGCCTAAGATTTTGGCAGTGAATAGTGGAATTTGCTGAGCATGGCACCACTCTTCCATGACCAATCAAACCTCCATTAGGATCCATAATGAATAGATGATTTCTTATGATGCAGTTCATATTGATTACTAGGAACCACCTAAGAACATAGATCATACAAGTTAATCTTTAATTTCCATATCACAATTTTTCCTGCTTTTTCTATTGCAGATTTTGCACCTGAAGTTACATTGGCTGCAAACTCTTCATTCTTCACTATTCTCCATAGCCTCTGTTCTTCTTTTTCCTACCTGCTAGAAGAACAATAATAAGAACAAATCTGAAACTTCAACAAACCTTTTGATTTAGAGTTCTAAGACTGTCCTTTTGTGCTTAATCTCTTTTCTGTATAGCAGCATCCATCTAAGAGATGTGTTTGCTAGGCTTTACATTCTGTTGTAAAAATAAACTTTGAGTAGACATAGAAATTTAAGTAAAGATCAACTTACATCTCGAATTTCTCATAAGTAGATAATTAGAACTAAACTTAAATATTGACACCTTCTTCTATTAGTTTCCAACTTTATTTTGTGAAATAATGCTATGTAAGTACTTACACTATGTCCAACTAGATTTGCTGTGGCAATATGACACGCGTTCTAAAACAATCAAAATATAAAAAATCAAAAGCTTATAAAGATTGTCATCGGAGTATTCGTCAACTCCGCGTCCAAATATACCTTTTTCTGGAAGCTCTGCTCTCTTGAACTTTGTATGTCCCAAAATGCTTCAGTCATATACTCAAGCCATTTCACTATGCTCTGATCAAAACCAAATGAAAGAGGAAATATTAGAAAGCATTTCTATTCAAGAGACAAATCAAAGGAAATTGATTTACCTCAAGTGATAAGTCCTTTAATTTAGATGTTGCGTACCTCTTCACTGAGTTGAGTGATTCGAACCACTAGAGCACGCACGACACCTGTCTTAAACCACAGCCTCAACAATGCTACTACCAACACGAAAAATATCCTTCTTTCTCGTAGTACCGTAGCCATGACATGTGGGCTTCAAAAGTTTGATTGCTAAAGTTCCATCGATTAGAAATTTAGCTGTGTACAGGTCTACAATTGACTGCTCTGCCTCATACTTTCTAACTGGATGCTTCTTTGATACAGCCTTTAAAAGTCTCCTTTGCTGCCATAAACCACATCAACTATAATGCGAATGAATGTCTCTGGACACTCGTATCTATGCTTCACATTGCCTTCTTCAAAAACAAGCGGCCTCAGCTGCTGAGAACGAAGCAAATCATGCACCAGCTCCTCCTATTCACCTTCTTATCTCTGAAACCAACCATGTCAAAGTCTGGAAAAGTGTTGTAAACAGCTTCACGAATGACTTTGGCTTTTTGAATGTGAGTTTGCCACTGCACCTCAAACCCAGCATCTTTGGATGTGTCCAGGCCAGAAAATCGAGAAAAGTTGCTGAAAAGAAACCTCCGGCAGAGCCCGCGGCAGAGGCAGCACGTCAGATGCTGGAAGCAAAGGTGAGAGAGAGCTATGTCGATTGATAAAACTTTAAGCTTGTTTGTGTGTAGAAACTGGGATCACGAGTTAACTTTGATGTTCTGCACAAGCTATTTGACCGAGATGATCCACGAGCTGGCCCTTTGCGTCGCAAGCTCCCTAGTCGACATGTACTGCAAGTGCCGGCGAAAGCATTCCTCTCGATCAAGTTCGTCAATGTTTGATCCGAATAGGAGAACTTGATGAACACAAAAGAAGATGGAACTGCGATCAATCCCATGGATTATCAAGGCGATGGACGCGAAGATGACAAGAAGATGGGCACGAAAAAGGAGAAGAGGAAGAGCATCTGGAAGAAGAAAATTGCGAGGGAGGACTCTATGCGCAGCCGCAAGAAGAAGAGTTCTATGGAGAGTATTAAAATATTTTGATTTTAGGGTTCTTGTGAGGTCTATGGCAACGATGGCCGCGCAGCAAAAGCCGGGAGTGCCGCAAGCGGAGATCAACTGGGACAGGTGAGCGCGGCAATCCCTTGGCTTTGTAGATCGCTAGCAGCGCCTCGCATTTTCCTTAGATCGATCGATTTCTTTTGTAGGCTTGACAAAACCAAATTCTATCTGGTAGGGGCAGGCCTCTTCTCGGGCGTGTCGGCGGCGCTCTATCCAATCACCGTCGTCAAGACGAGAATGCAAGTGGCGCGAGGGGAGGCGGTGAATATGAAAGCTCCTGCCATTGTGAGATCGATTCTTAGCACGGATGGAGTGAGAGGACTCTACCGGGGATTTGGAACCGTCGTTGCCGGTACTGTTCCCAGTAGAGTGGTGTTCTTGACAACTCTCGAGACGACCAAGATCGCGGCGCTTAACCTCACGTCCAAGCTCAACTTTCCAGACACCACCGCCGCCGCCATCGCGAATGGAGCTGCTGGCTTTCTCTCCTCAGTCGTCTCCCAGTTCATCTTCGTCCCGCTCGATGTGGTGAGTAGCTTTCGTTGCTTGTTCTTCGTTCGTTTCTTTTGTTCGTAAGTAACACCTTACATCGTTCTCTCCAGGTGAGCCAAAGATTGATGGTTCAAGGGACTCCAGGATCAACCAAGTACGCGGGTGGCATCGATGCTGTTCGCCAGATTGTCAAGGCCGATGGCATCCGGGGACTTTACAGAGGCTTTGGTATGTCGGTCATCACGTACTCTCCAACAAGCGGTGTGTGGTGGGCTTCTTACGGCACCAGCCAGCGCGTGTTTTGGAGGTAACAAGCTTTTTTGTATGCCTGCCTTATCATGGCTGTGAGTGTTTGTACCAGAGCTCTCGGCTACACAGAAGAAACTCACAAGATCCCGAGCCAGAGCGAGATGGTTTTGGTGCAAGCTGCTGGTGGCCTGGTGGCTGCTGCGTGTGCTTCAGCGCTTACTGCGCCATTTGACACTATAAAAACACGTCTCCAGGTACCTCTGCTGGTTCCAAAGAACCAAGGCTGAAACTTTTACTCTTGTTCCAGGTTCTGAGTAGCGAAGGAAATCCCACAGTCGTAGGAACTGCGAGACAACTTCTACAAGATGATGGCTGGAAGGGACTTTACAGAGGCCTCGTGCCGCGGTTCCTGAGCATGACTCTGTGGGGATCAGCGATGATCATCTCTTACGAGTACTTGAGTATGTCTTCCCGTGCTTTGCTCGTTCAAACTCATGGATTTCTTCTCATCTTTGCAGAGAGACTGTCGGTGAAAAAGGACGATCCAATCATGTCGACGTAACATCGCGACGAAGAATTGCTTTGCGAAGAGATTAACCGGTAATCTTTCGAGATTTTTTTTAATTTTCTTTTGGCTCGAGGGACAAACCATAACTATAGCTTGGTCAGTTTTTTCGAGAGAACTGAATCAATGGAATAAAATTCTCGTATGTTTCCAGGTTTTGTCAATCACTGTGCCGTGCCGTGCCGTGCTGCTCTAGATCATCGATAAACTCTTGCTCGCTTCTCAAGCGACCACAAACATTACACTCCATGAGGTTCGCATTGCCTGGCAGCGGCGCCATCGTTCCACCGCAGCTCTCTTCGGGACACAAGTACTTGACGAAGAACATCGCGTGAGGGAAATCGCCATCGCCATCTTTGTCCATCTCTTCTTCTTCATCCTCTCCATCTCCATCCGTTTGGTCGTGTTCCATGGCTTCTTCCTCGTCTCCCTCACCATCACCATCGCTCCAAGTCTGCTCCACACGGCATCTCTCGCAGTTACACTCGAAACCATAGTCCTCGACCAGCCTCTCCCGCCGCTCCTTGTAGTTCCAATTCACAGGGAAGTAGCTGATGCAAATCTCGCTACCTTGCGGCACGTCGTGGAGGAGACGAATGTAGATATCGGTGTTGGATGCGCCAGGCTTGTCCAAGTACTCGAATCTGTGTAAACAGTGAAAGATCAGTGAAAGAAACGAAGGACTCAAATCAATCTTGCGGACCTGCAAGCGTTTGGGAGGCAGTCGTGGTTGAGCATGGACGCTTGCGCGTAGCGAGCGTAAGCTCTCACCTTGCGCTGCGCAGTCCCAGAGCTGGGAGCCATCAAACCGAAGGCATTGATCTTGTCCTTGGCCAGGAGATTCAAGAACATCTCCAAGGAAAGTCCTTTTGCTAGCTCGAAACAGTGCGTCCTCAACAATGCCAAGACCAATTCAGCCACTCCAGCGGGCCTTGGATCGTTCGCGAACACGCTGGCCTGGCCATCCAGAAGCAGCAGCCTTTGAAAATCCTCCGCATTGCGAGCCGCGAGGCTCACAGCGGCGAGTAGAAACCTTGCCTGCGTCCCGGCCTCGTGACCTATCCCTGCCCTCGCCACATCCTGGAGCGCCGAGCACATCCACGGCGTGTGGGACGAGGCTATCGCCGCTGCCCGGCATCGCTCGTCGCAGAATCGCGCCTTTGAGCACGATTCGCACGCTGGGGACGAGGAAGAAACGCAACGAATGCAGTGGGCACAGAACGATCCAGCGGCCTCGGCCTCGCCATAGACGAGCAGCGGCGATTCGCGAATAACAATGTGGCCGCCAGAAAGATCGCGCAGCGCGAACAATCCCCTTCCCCGCCCTGGGACGATCCTCACCTCCATAAACCCTAAAGCCTAGGGATTTAGGGCTGACATACCAGAGTTAATCTCAACCGTTCACTTTAAAAATAGAGAATATGCTCTTTTGGTCCTAGTATCGTTCTTCTTTACATTGGAAACTTTTGTAGCAAAGTATCACCCTTTTTCATGGAGATACCTCCCATTGTCAAGTATGTGTATAGCTCCCACTCCAAGAGAAATGGCGAAGCTCGCATCAATCGCTACTGTAATGCTGCTACTGCTACTCACAAATTGGATCTCGCAAGAAAAGAAGTTCCAATCCGATCGACGCTGGCTCTTCTCTTCCAGATTTCTTGGAAGAAAAACGTTTCCCCTGTTCCAGCGTGATCACTGCCAAGGTAAGCGCGTCTACATCCACCCATTGCCTCCCCAATTCAACCGCCAAATCCTGGAGCGAGCATGCTGTGGAAGCTCGCAAACTCCAATCACCTGGATGTGCGATCGTCTTGGCAACCACGGGTTGGGCCTTCCGGCAAGAGTTATCACTCCTCCCACTTCCAATGATTCGGGAGCTCTCGATTCACTCCAATTCCCAGGGGAGACGGCCACGCTGGTTTCATCCTGCCGCTTGCTCCCAGCTTCCTCGTGGTATAGAACTGGCCAGTTTGCTCTCGAGATCATGATCCACGAGCGCTTTCGACGGTACCAGTGCCTCACAGATGATCCCCACCTCGCAAATCTCTTCTACATTCCATACTACGCGGGCTTGGATGTGTCGCAGTACCTCTTCACCAAGCAAGTCCAGATGCGTGACAAGCTCGGCCAGAGGTTGCTGGGATACCTGCAAGGAAATCGTCACTGGAATCGCAAGCGAGGCAGAGATCACGTACTTGTTCTTGGGCGGATCGTGTGGGACTTTGGGCGCAGCGAGGAGAATCACGAGAGCTGGGGAAGCAGCCTCCTCTCCATCCAGGAGCTGGACAACGCCACCAAGCTGCTGATCGAGCGGGACGTGTGGAGGAGCTCGCAGATGGCGCTGCCATACCCGACTGGATTCCATCCCGATTCGCGCCAGGAGATCGACGAGTGGCTGGCAGTGGTGAATGGATCGTCGCGAGACCTGCTGGTGTCCTTCGCTGGAGCTCTTCGCGATGGCAACGGCAGCACTGCGACGATGAGAAGATCGCTACGAAGACAGTGCCAGCGACACGAGAGATTGTGCACGATCCTGCGCTGCGAGAGAATCAACTGCGAAGAAAATCCCGAGATTGTCACCTGCGTCGCCTTGCGATCAGTCTTCTGCCTGATGCCGCCCGGCGATAGCCCCACCAGGAAGGCTTTCTTCGATGGCCTCGTCGCTGGATGCATCCCCGTGGTGTTCAGCGAGCACACCGCCTACACACAGTACCTGTGGCATCTTCCACGCGATCCAGAGTCCTACTCGATCTTCTTTCCGCATCACAGCGTCATCGACGGGAGCATCGATGTGATCCAAGAACTCGCCAGAATCCCAGCGGCGCGGGTGAGATCACTGCAGGACGCTGTCGCGCGCATCATTCCCAGAATTATCTACGCGAAATCCAGCCTCGACGGCTATCCAGACGCATTTGACATCGCTCTTGAAAAACTTCTAGTGGCCCAAGAACCCTAGCTTGTTCTTTCAAGAAAGTTCTCTCGACAAGGATGATTCGCATCGATGTTCGTCGCAAAAACTGGGAGATTACCCACTCCAGCGGTGTCCAGGGCCGAGAATTTCGTGCATCAACTCCGGTGCTGCCGGGATCTCTCTCGCGGGAAGCAAATCCACTCGCGCATCCGGGATTTGGATCATCGCCCCAGCACATTTGTGATGAATCACACAATCCAAATGTATGGGAGGTGTGGGAGCACCAAAGATGCACTCGCTGTCTTCACCGCTATCGATCATCCGGATGTTTTCTCCTGGAATATGATGCTCCAGGCATTTGCCACGAATGGAGAACTGGGCAGCGCACGAGATCTCTTCGCGGAGATGCCAGATCGAACCACTGCTTCCTGGAACACCATGATCAGCGCCTACGTCCGCCAGGGATTGCCGAGTGAGGCGATCGCTTTGTTCCACCGGATGAAGAACCCTAGTGCTGTGACAATGACCTCCATGATTGGGGCATTTGCCCAGAACGGGGATTTGTGCAAGGCCAGGGAAATCTTCGATAGAATGGATCAGCGCTGCGTCATCGCGTGGACAACGATGATCAAGGAGCTCGTCTGGAGTGTAGATCTTCTCGACGAGGCACTGGCTCTCTTCCAGCGGATGCCGAGCCACGATGTGATTTCCTGGAACGTTGTTCTTGCAGCGCACGCTCAGAGTGGAGATCTCGATCAAGTGGAAGCGATGTTCTTGGCGATGCCGGCGAGAAACGGGGCGTCCTGGAACGCGCTGATTGTCTGCTACGCGCAGATCAAATCCATCGATGCGGCTATGGAAATCTTCGAGCTGATGCCTTGCCACGATGCCGTGGTGTGCGCGACGCTGATCATGGCGAGTTCCAGCGCTGGAAATCTAGAGGAATCGGAGAGGATCTTTGCGAACATTCCCGATCGAAATCCCGTGTGCTCCAATGCGATCATCGCTGCGTATTGCCGCTGTGGAGATCTGGTGAGAGCTAGAGAGCTGATCGAGGAGATGCCCAATTCCATCTCTTGGAATTCTCTCCTTTGCGCCCATGCCCAGAGAGGGAACCTTGTAGAGGCAACACGAATCTTTCAACGTCTGGAATTTCCCAGCTTGGAATCGTGCACGGCTATGATCAGAGCTCTTTCTCTGCGTGGAAAGATCGACGACGCAAAAGCAGTGTTCGATAGAATTCCATTCCGGAATCTGGCGGCGTGGAATGCCATGGCGTGGGCATTTGCGCTGCGAGGGCTTGTTCTCGACGCCAAGAACACGATCCAGCGAATGCCACGGCAGGGTCTGGTGTCGCGCAATCTGATGCTGTCGATCTACACGCAGGAGTCGAGATTATCCATCGACGAGGCGAGATCAGTGTTCGAGGAGATGCCGGCTCGAAATATCGCTTCCTGGACAGCGATGATCCAGTGCTGCTTCATGGCCGGGGCTCTGGATCTCGCCAAGGTGCTGTTCCAGAGGATTCCATCCCGGGACTCAGTCGCGCACGCAGCGATGATCACTGGTTTCGTCGACAAGGGTGAGATTATCGACGCCAAGAAGGTTTTCGATGGAATGCCCAGCCAGGATCTGCTGCCGCGGACTGCAATGCTTGCCGGATTTGCGCGGCACGGGCTTGTGTCGGATGCCAGACGCTTGTTCGATGAGATTTCTATCCCTTCCTCGCCCCAAGATCCTGTTCTTTGGAGCGCGATCATCGCGGCATACTCCTACAAGGGGCAATCCAACGAGGCAATCGGCCTCTTCCACGCGATGAAGCTCGAGGGCGTTGATCCGGACGAGGTCACATTCATGAGCATTCTCCATGTGTGCAGCCACGACGGCCTCTTGAGCCAAGCGTGGGAGAACTTCCTGTCGATCGCTGCCGATCACGGCATCCAGCCAGTGCAAGAACACTACGCGTGCATCGTGGATCTTCTCGGACGAACAGGGCGATTGCGAGACGCCGAGGAGCTCATCGATTCCATGCCGTTCCTGCCCGATCCCGGCGCCTGGGGGAGCTTGCTCGGATCATCTGGCATCCACTGTGACGAAGAACACGGCGCATCCGCCGCAGAGAAGGTCCTGGCCATGAACCCTAAAAGCCTGCGATCGTACGCCCTCCTGGCGAACATCTTTGCCGCCCAGCCCAGGAATCTTTTCAAAATTTGACATCTTCTAACTTAAGTAAAGGCTTTTGTTTTGGCGCTAGGGGATTGGAACTCCGGACCGCGGATCCCAAACACACATTCCAAAGCGGCTCAGGATCCAAGGCTTTAATTATCAGTAATTGGGATTGGCGCAAAGCGGTTGGATTGGATCCGGGCGATGGATTAGGGCAGAGGGAGAGGAAGAGAGAGCGATAGGCGGAAGAATGACGCGAGGGAATCCACAGGCGTATGGCGAGGCGTCCTACTGGGACAATCGCTACAAGAACGATTCCTCCACATTCGATTGGTACCAGCGCTACGCAGGTCTGTCGGCGCTGCTCCAGAAATATGTCCCAAAAACTTCGCGGATCCTCATGGTCGGCTGTGGGAATGCCGGTGAGCGATTTCCTTCTCTATTTTCGGCTCTACAGGATGTTTACTGTGAAAATCACTGCGATTGAGCAGCTATTTCCGAGGATATGGTGAACGATGGCTATCAAGAGATTGTCAATATTGACATCTCCACGGTCGTGATCGAGGCAATGCATCAAAAGTATCAGCACGTCCCCCAGCTTAAATGTACGTTCGTCGGGAAATTGCTTTGGCTGGCTTGGCTTGGCGTTTAAAGTTTTGGGTGGATGTCTTATTTGCAAGGTCTACACAGATATGACAATGGATGTGCGGGATTTATCAACATTCGAGGATGGATCTTTCGATGCTGTTCTAGACAAAGGTACTAGAGTTCATCCCAAAGCTTATAGTTGCTAGCATAAAAATGCCCCTTTTGTTTTTTGGCTTCTTTGTGCAGGCATGCTGGATTCACTCCTGGTGAGTAGCATGAAACTTAGTGATTTCTCTTGAGAGAGTTTGAAGTGTATTGCTCTATTCCAGTGTGGGACTAGCGCAGCCATAAGTGCTGCGAAAATGCTTGAAGAAGTTTCAAGGTGAGGCTGTCAGCTTCCATCTTTTCGTGCAAGGCTGACTTTGTTTCATGCATGCAACCAGAGTTTTGAGAGGAGGATCTTCATACATCTTGGTAAGCTTTTCCTCTTTCAATGTCTACAAGAGATTCACACTTTAGTGTCTTGTGCTATCCAGGTTACATATGGTGATCCTCGAGTTCGATTGCCACACTTGCAGGTTCCAGCATTGAACTGGAACATAACACTTCACATTCTTCGTAAGAAATCTACTTCCAAAACTTCTCTTTGAGTATATAACTCCTTGACAGAGTCACAAAAATCCTTTGCTTGCAGCCAGACCCGGGTCACAGAAATTTGACGATGTGTCGTCCCCGGAGTTTTTAGAACCAGTTCCCATCAACGAGGATGGCTCAATCGGGCCACACTCAGCTCTAGACTCGAATTTACACTACATTTACGTTTGCACGAAGGTAGGTTCTAAATTTCTTTTCCATGAAATGACGAGAAAAGAATATTTTTTCTTCTTTTTTGTTTGTAAGCAGACTGGTGATGTCGGTGCAAAGAAGGGTGGAAGGCCTGGGAAGAAGTGATGGAAGGAATTCTATTAAGATAGATTGGCTAACTTGTTTTGCTATCGTCTATGAGGAATCGAACCCTTGCCTCCTCTTTTGTAAATATTTATTTCATTTAGTGAGAACCCTAGCTATGGAGTGGCGGGGCGGGGCGATGGAGGGAAGCGGCGGCTTCGTCGATCGCAGGCTCGCGGATTATGTGAGCCTCATCACGGATTCTTTAGCTAGCCAGGATGGATCGGCATTTGCTGCGGCGCTGGCGATCAATGCCACGAATTCCTACGCGGAGACGGTGTCTTCCTGCCTGGATCACACAAAGGTGCGTCGCCATTGAGTCGAGGAGCATCTCTCTCAGCTGGTTTTTCCGCCAGGATCCTGCGAGGATTTTGAAACAGGTAGACAAGCACGCACCGCTGGGAGAAATGCTACTCCATCACACGCGGGCAATGCAGTGCTACCATCAGAATCGCTATGTGGACGCCTACAATTCCCTCGAGAAATCGGCAAAGTATGTTGATCTTTGATGGATTGTTGGATACCAACTGCTCCATAGTGCTTTCTTACAAGAATATCGCAACTGGGAATCAACGTGGGCGATGGAAGCGCTTCATGTCATCGTCTACGCTCTTCGCACTGTCGGGGAGATGGTATCTTTCTCACTGTCTTTTTGTTCTTTCACGCTCCTCTGAAAACTCGAGTTTCATTCTTCACAGGCTGACAGGGAAATGGCGATGAATGGGAAGGCACCGGATAAGCTCAAGGGTGCTGGCTCGTTTCTTATGAAGGTTTTCGGTGCCATTCAAGGAAAAGGTCCCAAGCGCGTCGGTGCTCTCTACGTTACGTGCCAACTATTCAAAATCTACTTCAAGGTTTGGAAGATCTTGTCGCTGGTACAGACAGATCGATTCTGGCCTTTTCGTTGTTCAGCTGGGAACAGTCCATATGTGCCGAAGTGTGATCAGGAGTATTGACACATCTCGGTTTTTCGACTTCGAAGACTTTCCTGCCAAGGATCGGGTATGCTCGTAATGCCTTTTTACAGCCATGAGAAGTGCTTAACTCTATTCCCATGAAGGTGACTTATATGTATTATACAGGCCGTCTAGAGGTTTTCAACGACAACGTCTCGGCAGTAAGTGATCGTGCAGAAAAGCTTTTCTTCTCGCGCTTACTTTGTTATGATATTTCAGGCCGACCGAAAGCTCACATATGCCTTGGAACGCTGCGATCCTTTCAAGAAGGCGAACATAAGGTATGTTCTGTTGTTGACGTACTTGACGTTGTAGTAACGTAGCTTGCAGGATGATTTTGAAGTACCTGGTACCCGTGAGATTAGCACTCGGGGTGCTACCAAAAGAGAGCTTGCTTACAAAATACAACCTGTCCGAGGTAGCAAGGTGGTAGCAACGACTGTTCTTCCTGACTCTTCCTTTATGCAGTATATTGACGTTGTCCGAGCTCTGAAGCGAGGAGACGTCAGATTACTTCGACGTGCCTTGAAAGCTAACGAGAACAAGTAAGACGGCACTGTACTGCTTCGACACAAAACTTACGCTTTCCCCTCTCAGTTTTTTCAGATCGGGTGTCTATCTCGTCCTGGAGAAGCTCGAATCCCATGTCTACAGACGACTTTTAAGAAAGATGTGTGTAAGCCACCACCGCAGCCACCGCAGCCACCGCTCTCGTGTCTCACGCTTCTTGGTGCCACTGTTACAGATACAATATCCAAAAGCAGCGGGATCCTGGCCGCGCCCACCAAGTCAGGATGGAGGTGATCCTAAAAGCTATGAAGTGGCTCGAGGTGGACATGGACATGGACGAGGTGAGCTCCACTGATTGACAGTGCTTGAATCTAAGGTCTTGAGTCTCTCCAGGTGGAATGCTCCATGGCAATTCTGATCCACAAGGCACTGATGAAAGGCTACTTTTCGCACAAGAGCCGAGTGGTGGTGCTGAGCAAGCAGGACCCCTTCCCGAAGCTCGCTGGGCGACAACAACAGTAACAGCAACAGCAAAAGTAAGGATTTATTAGTCGATTTGGATCGCAACAAGAGATTTGGAGGCAGATTTGTGAGCTTGACGTGGCCGGCCGCGGCTCTAAGCTTGAATTTCTTAGTGGTGAGTTTCGTGATACTTTTTGTGATATTTCCGCGGCCTTTTTGGCACGGAATACCCGCCATGGCTATTCAAATGGTACACGTGGAGGTTGTATATAAGCTCGGGTTTGTTTTTCCCTTTTCCCCCATTCTTTGATTGCTTCAGTTTTCTTCGAGAGGCTTGATGGTTTGGGTCGATTTGTGCTAAGATTTTGTGATCTTTCCATGGTAAGACTAGGTCAGGAACGGTGAGATGAAGAGCGGCGAGGTAAGCTTGCTATTGGGAGAGTTTTGGATCCTAAACTGAGCCTTTTTGTTCTCTCTTTTTCTTGCCTGCAGGCAGCTGGGTTGTGGAATTGCGACTGCCTCGGCTGCTGCCACTTCTTGAGGAAGCTTCTGCCATGGAGATCTTGTGACTATGAGTTCAATGCGGATGAATGGCGATGCTCTGACTGCGAGAGTGAAGGTATAATCAATCCATTTGCTTGTTTGTTTGTTTCTCTCGTTGCTAAACGACTTTGTTATGTTTTTTTCGTTCTTGTTATAGATGAATCTGGGGTTGGATTATATTCCAGGAGTTATCAAACGCCGGTAGCTCTTTCAACCGCGTTCCAAAACTTCCGGTACTGATCAGCCAGTCGCCTTGAGGGCTCTCTCTTGTCTTTGCCTGAAAGTTCTCGAAAACCTTGTGCTAGGATACACGCCGGAACCTGGAACGTCGGCGGACGGATTCCTCCATCGTCTCTGGATTTAAGTAGCTGGGTCTGCTCCCAGACACCGGCCGATATCTACGTCTTCGGGTATTTCCAGCTCGTTATTTTGTCCTTCTCCTGACGCTTGTTATTCCCACAGCTTCCAAGAGATTGTGCCTCTAAATGTTGCAAATGTGTTTGGAGTTGAGGATGACACTCCAGCTGTAGTATGGGAAACTTTGATACGGCACACTCTGAATCGTGGCTCTAGGAGAGCATCATGGACACAAGAGGAGGAGACAGCATCAACACTTGGTTACGTTGGGGAGAAACAGCCTCTCATCGCACCGCTCATGTCTCCAGATTTCTCCGAGGACAGCAAGTTTCCCGGACAGTATGTCCGGATTGCGAGCAAACAGATGGTCGGACTTTTTATCAGCGTTTGGATCCGACGTGAGATTCGTCACGTTGTCAGCAACGTCAAGGTTTCCTCCGTTGGTTGTGGAATTTTTGGCTACCTTGGAAACAAGGTAAGACTTTCTCGTTTTTAACTGTGGCCAACCTTTGCTGGTTGTACCTTCTCTCAGGGATCCATTTCGGTGAGCTTGTCCATCCACCGAACAAGCTTCTGCTTCATCTGTTCACATTTGACTTCGGGAGACAGAGAAGAAGATGACAAGCGCAGAAACACGGACGTGAGGGAGATCTTGCGCAGGACTAGCTTTCCACGTTCTCTCAGAGTCTCGCAAACTCTACCCGAGACTATTTTAGAGCACGAGTAAGTATTTTAGAGCAAATCTCATTCACGTGGGCGTGACTTGAATCTTATTTCTCTGTTTTTAATTCACAGAAGGATAATCTGGCTTGGAGATCTCAACTATCGGGTTGCTCTCTCCAGCGACGAGACAATGCGACTTATTGGAAACCAGGACTATTCTTCTCTTCTAGCGAAGGATCAGGTAGTCTCCAAAAACCTTCACACTTTGATAGCTAAGCTTATACGACTGTTTGCCTCTTCAGCTCAAAGCACAGCAAGGAAAAGGTCGTGTTTTCGAAGGCTGGAAAGAAGGACACATCAAATTCGCCCCAACATACAAGTACATCCCCGATTCCGATGCCTATACGATGAACGGCGCGTCTGCGAATGGAAGAACACGCGTTCCTGCATGGTATGTCAATTGTTTAAGTGGAGAGAACTTAAAAAATAACTTCTATTGATTCTCTCTCGTACAGGTGTGACCGCATTCTATGGCTGGGAAAGGGGCTCGACCAGATCGCCTACTTGCGCTCCGAGTACAGAATCTCGGATCATCGGCCAGTGAGCGCAGTTTTTACAACGCAAGTTGAGTGTGCAGACAAGTAAGTTACTCAAGCATTTCTTTGTGAGCCGTTTCGTCAGGCTTCCTCTTTCCACGACGAGAATCTAGCTGCCTAAGAGAGGATCAGGCCGCAGGAAAGGAAAAAGTGTATGTAAAACTTTTTTCTTACCAGTGTAGAAGTATCACTGGTCATGAACATGGAACACAAAAAAGTGAGAGCTTTTCTTTCGTGAGCTTCAAAGGTTCCAACTTACCGGCTGTAGCGTCTGTGCTTGGAGGCTAATATAATCGTTCTCCAAGTTAGTTATAAGATGGCTGATAACTCGCCTTTCTGGCATGTCCTGATGGACAGCTCTAGTGTGTGCTTGCTCAACTTGATGATCTTGCAGCACTGTCTCCGAGGTGCCTGAGACAAAAGAAAAAGAACCATCCAGATTGAAATCCAATCGAAGAAAAAAAGTAGTTGTCATTACCTGGTACCAGGAGTCGTGCACGGCTTGTTTCTCGACACTGATCAAATTGATCTTGGACAGTGCGTCCTTTCTCCTGCATTGGCTGGCAGCGCCCCTCGAGTAATTACTGAAAGACTGTCCATTGCGCTGAGGCACGACGGTGTGCATGAAGAACATGGTTGGCCGCTCGCACGAGTCCCTTGGCACCGCTCTTGTCCTGAAGCCGAATGATTCGTCCAGGCTCGGGACTCCCCAGCCAGCGAACGTCCTTAGTGGATTCTCGAGCACTCGTGGAGCAAGCAAAAGTCGCGTGACTTGCACAGCCCATCCCCATGAGACTTGAATCGACCAACTCTGCTGCTTGCTGTAGCACACCGCCTGCTGCAGCACCCCGCCTGGATCGACGCCTGCTGCCTGGAGCAGATGCTCCACCGATTTCTGCCGTGACATCCCTGGAAACAGTGGATCGATCCGGTCCAGGTGGTGCAGCGAGAGCAACGGAGCAATGGGATGAGCACCCAGGATGCCGGATGCGTCTCCGTTGATATCCAGCTGCGAAACCACGAAAGAAAAATCACTTTTTCCGATCCAGAAAGCACAGGAAAAAGTCGTACCTGGTGGAAGCCAGGCTCTTTGATCAGTGGAACTCCCAGCTCCAACAAGCACGCATGAATTCTGGAGCTCCCTCCGTAGAGATCAGCGTACCTTTCCATGCACTCGTCCAGAATCTCGCTCAGCTCCTCGACCAGGGGATAGCTGATGGCGTAGCCGGCACCACCGTAGGCCATGTTGCCCGTGCAGCAGCCATCCACGGTGTTCTGCCGGTGCGTCTCGGAGATGCCACCAATGTAGTAAAACTTGGTGTGATCATACTTGGACAGAACTCTTGCCACGTTCTCGGCGAGAAACACTGTGTCATCGTCCCCGACGACAAACCAGTGCACATCCGGAAGCCTCAACCGGAACATCTCCACGGCAATCCGGCATATCCGAAGCTGCTGCTTCTGACGCTTGCTCGGAGGTTGGCCCGAATAAGTGTAGTTGAACCGGGAGGTGTCCTCGGACACCATGAGCGGAGGCAAATTGTCCTCGCTGGATCTGGCTACCATCTTGTCCAGCCACACCGCCCCTCGCATCTCCGGCCTCCACCATGCCTGGATGTAGCCTTTCCTCTTGTCCCAAACCTCGGAGCCTGCCGCAAGGCCGAAAACTATGTTTGCGAGCGTTGTTCTTGGACTTGGACTATCTGTTGCTCTTGCCTTCAAGGGGAGCGCTCCTGCTGCTGCCGGTGCTGCTTCCAGATTCTCTGCCGCTGACAGCGATCCTCCTATTGGTGTTTCTGTCTTGATTCCCCCTCTTCTGGAGATTTCACCTGTGCAATCTGGAGCTGGAGTGGGACGATACAGCTGGAAAGATGTGGATCCATTCATTGTGAGAACCGTGTAAACCCCTACCACAACGAGCAGAACCAGCAGGAAGCTATGATAGCTGAGCTCGAACTTCATGTTTCGGGACTCGAAAGAGTATCTCAGGTCTCCCATACCTTTTTAAGGCAACAACGGATCAGCACTAAATCAAATCACCATTAGGACATGCATCCTTATACTTTTATCTTTACCTTTATGCACGAGCACCATTGTATTGTTCGGTCCAATTGTAGCAGTCCACCGACTTGACTGGGTATGATTAGACTAGGTGTCAATTTGTGGTAGCCCTCAGCCCGTCTAAAAGCGTCCGTGCGCAGTCCGCGCTGCCCGGCCACTGTCCTTCTGGTACTTGAAGAACGAGTGTATACACCTAGATAGAAACGCTTCAGTATCAAGAAAGGAAAGAAAAAGCAGAAAAGAAAAAGAACTCTAGATACTATACATACACCAACCTTGCTCTCTGTCTTGAGGATTTTAAACAGGAAATGTCGTAACTCATTGTTCGCAAGAATCCTTAGCTCCAACGTATAGCTCCTGATTTAGTCAAAAGAGGATTTGGATGCCGTGTCCGGATTTAAGATTACCTCCTGCTACTGTCACGATCTGGGAAAGAGTCCACCTTCAAGAGCTCCGCCTGTAAAACACGCGTTTAGAAAAAGAAAAACTTTTCTCTTGATAGAAAACGGAGCACGTTTTCCACGTCGGCCACGGTCTGGTAGCGAGCGAGTAGTGCTCGTCCAACCTGGAGGGATGGAATGGCATGAATGAATGATCTCAGAAGATTAGCTTATACGCGACGCCATTTAGTGGGACTATTCAGACCTCCTCTGGTGACCCCAGCACTATAAATTGAGCTGGTCCGCTCGTAATTGTCAAGTTGAATTCCTTGGCCTCTGGATCATGCGCTAGAAGCTGCCAGCGGCCAGCGGCCACACAGAGAAGGCCATTTAGATAAAAGAACGAGAAAAAGCAAAGAAAGAACACTACCTCAATTCCTCTGACCTTGTCACGCTTCCAAGAAGATGGATACAGATACTCGTAACCTCGGCCTCGACCTGGCACCACCGAGCAGCTGCAAAGCAAAATAGATCGATCGATTACTTGAAATAATCCACACTTAAAAATAGGCTTGCATTGACGATCGCAGCTCGCAAATGCCCGGGCGGGGATTGCCCAGCAAGCAGAATGCCGCTGCGGCGCCGGTCACAAGCAAGAGCTTGGCCGCCGCTGGCGCCGCCGCCGCGCGATCTCGAGCCCCGGCGCATTGCACAGACAAGAGGCAGCGGCCATAACTGCTGGAACCTAAAATATTAAGCATCTTCTTTAAACCCTACACCCCTTTGTGAGAAATGTTTTAGCTATAGCGAAGGGGTGCGTCCGACCTTATTGCCAAAGCGCGGGAAAACAACGCCCACAACAGCGCAATGAGCGAGAAATCGCCACCGTCTCCCACGGGCAAAGCTGGCGCCAAGAGCAATGCCGCCAAGAACAATCCGTCCTCGCCCAAGAAACCAGCGGAGAAGCAGCAGCAGCAGCAGCAGCAGCAGCCGCCGCAGCAGCAATGCACCACCAAGGGCGATGACCCATGCTCGACTGAATCATCCATGGTACTTCCAGCGGCACACAACATGAAAAAAAGTTTTCCACGACTCTGATGATCTCTGCGGCTTGTGTGTGTGTGTGTGTTTTTTTCCCATCCCTTTTTGAACTGGGATTTCTCGCGATGCAAACACAGGGGCACCAATCGAATTCCAGGAGGGCATCCGCGGCATCTTTTAAGTTCGGCACGGAGAAGCGATTCAGTTACCGCAAGGACGACGGAAATCCGGGACCGGGATCATACGACTGCTAGAATTTGAAACAGGACGGATATTCCTAGGAGATTCCCCAGAGAAACTACCACATTTTCTGTAGAACTCTTTTAAACCATCTTTTTCTTGCTCTTGTGGAGGAGATGCAGCACGATGGCGCGGCACGAGGTGATAATGTTGCGGATCTGAATCACCTGCGCCTCGATGAGCGGCAACGCCAACTCCACTTGATCCACGCTGTTCTTGAGCGCCTTGACGCAGTCCGCCAGTGCGCGGTCGTCCTGCGGATCCCCGTGGATAATGAGGGCGCGCAGCTGTCGGACCCATTGATCCACACTCTGGAGCTCGCACAGGAAAGAGAATGGCGCCTGCTCGTTCCGGCTGCTGATCTCCTCTTTGACGCTCTTGAGCAGGCGCACGAGCGGATCGAGCCAGAGGGGTTCTTTGCTAGCGCGGATGCCGAGGGGCTGGGATCTCCGCTCCTTGCTTGGCAGCCTGGGCTGGACGGTGAGCGCGACCGCGAGAACCAGGAGCACGAAGATGGATGTGCTTCTGGTGCCGTGGAGAGTGGAGAGGAAAACCCGGCTACCATCATCAAGCTCCTCGACCTCCTGGTCTAGCTGTAGTGTTGTTCTTCCACCATCAGCTTCGAATTCCCAGATGGCCAGGAGAGTTTGAATGCCCCTTTCGAGGTTGGCCCTCTGCAAGCTGAGGCGGCTCGTCTCGTTGCTGTCGACGATGCTGCTGGTGGACAAGAGGGGCATCGTGCGAATGCAGCTGTCGAGGAGCTGCCGAGCGCGCATCGCCTTCCTGCTTTGTACCGATTGCAAGGCCAGCTGCACAAACATCTGGTAGTAGCGGACGTCGGCGATACTCCTGACCAGAACGTCACAGACGCCCAGGAGTTTGTCCGTGTCGCACACGCACGCGCGCAGCCAATTGGCGTCCCGATCCTGCAAGGCTTGCTGGAGGTGATCGGGCACCAGCGCCATCATCTCGCCCTGTGTGTGACTCACCAGATCCAGCGCTTGTTGGATCCATGCCAAGCTCAGGTAGCTGCCGTTGCCCATGGCCAGGGACTCCAACCCCGCTGCCAGCTCCAATTCAAACATCTCCACGCCGCCAGCCATAGCGATCGAGATGCGGTGTGGAATTTGCTCTGGATCACTTACTTAGAAGTGGACTCTCTACATCTTTTAGATGCGACTATATAGACTGATGAGCAAAGATGACTTTCCGGGCGAGAATTTTCCAGGCAAAAGGCCTGGCTTGTCTTCGAGAAGCCGTGCTCGCGAAACCATTGACGCCTTGCTTTTTGAAAATGGATATGCTTCGTTTAGGGTTTTGAGTTTTAGGGCACATGGTGGGTTGTGCGATTTGCTTGGCGGACGAGCGCAGCGATCCCGCGTTCGTGGATGGCTGCTTCCATGGCTTCTGCTACCCCTGCATTCTCACGTGGTCGGAGGCGATGCTGGCCTACTCTTCCACCGGCGAATTCCTGCGATGCCCAATCTGCAAGGGAGGTTATGATTCGCTCGTCCACGGCGTGGCCATGGAGGACGGGGTGAGTATCTTCTCCAGGCACTGTCTCGTGCATCCCCATCGGAGCACGCACAAGCTCGCGCTCACGCCGGCACAGATGTGGCGGCGCAAGCGCTACAGCCAGGAATTCGAGGGGGATGTCGTCAGGGCGGCTGGGACGGGGAGGGATTGCAGCAAGTACCTGTGGGATTGGATCGTGAGGGAGGTCCAAGCGCTGATGCTAGACAGAGATGTGACGCTGGTGGCACATCTCGTCAAGGGGGCATTGGAGAGACTGCTGAGGACAAGTGGGAGAAAGAACCTGAGCGACATGGCGCGATCCCCAGCGGCAGCCATGGATTGCGAGAGAGTGGTGGCGCCGCTCTTGGAGCCTTTCCTCGATCGAGACTCCGGGCGGTTCGTCAAGGAGATGATCAAGTACCTGGCGTCGGGACTTCCAATCGACGCCTATGATCGCCAGCTCCAGGGAAACGAAAAGGATGCGATGATGGTGGAGGAGAACAGTGATCCCGACCTCGCAACTAGTTTGCTTTACTGGACGGATGAGAATGAAGAGTAAAAGTTGAGTGAAAGTTTTCTGGTCAAAGACTCGATACCGCCTTGCGTAGGGTTGACCCTGGTTGAATTTTGACTGTTACGTTTCCCACTCGAGACGAGAAGAGAGGAGATCAACGCGAGAATTTCGTATATGCTTTCGTATATGCAAACTTCGAAAGCGATACTGCTATAAATCCTCTGCCACAATCTCAGGATTCCAGCAGCAATCTACACGATGGGAGAAACAAGAGTTCTTTAGGAAGCGATCACGCCAAGGAGGAGCTGATCGATCGATAGGCGTATCAACAATTGTCCAAGCCCATCAAAGCCTCGGGAGCGAGCATCGAGATCATGGCACGAGTTCCATTGTCACTGTCATTCAAGAGAAGGACGTTGGAGAGAGAAGGAGATTCATTGTCATTCTCATTCAAGAGAAGAACGTTGGAGAGATCTGAAGGAGATGGTCATGGCGCGCGCGTTGTGGAGCTGGAGGAGAGGCAGCTGGTGCTGAGCTCAGGCTGGCGGGATGCATGCCACTGGAGTCCGCTCCTCCCGCCCGCCAACGCCTCCATCGACGAGCGGCTCCGGCGGGAGATCATCCGATACGGCGAATTCGCGGAGGCTTGCTTCGACGGCTTCGAATACAGCGAGGGCTCGGAATTCTGTGGAGACACAAAGTTCTCCAAGGAGGAGCTCCTCCAATCCGTGGGACTCCCAAGCACGGGATACGAAATCACGGCCTATCTCTACGCGACATCGCAGCTGGGCTTGCCCAGTTTCTTCAAGCGCTCCAATTCCAACGCCCAACCCGGCGACGACTCGTGGACGTCGGACACCAACTGGATGGGCTTCGTGGCGGTTGCCACGTCGGACGAGGCCATCCGACGGTTGGGACGCTGCGACATTGTGGTGGCCTGGCGCGGGACGGTGACGCAGCTCGAGTGGATCGGGAACCTCAAGGATCTCCTCCGTCGACCCCACGGCCCAAAGTTCCAGGGGTGATTGTCAACGAGGACAGCAGTGATATCATCTCGCTCATCTTCCACAGGTTCCCATGGGCCTACACCCATGTTGGCACCGCGACATCTCTCCGTTTCTGAGGGAAGATGGTGGCTTGACCGATCTGCACAACTTGGAGGCCTTGCTTCACCTGGTTGATGGCTACCAAGGGCCGAGCAAGCCCTTCAGTGTCTCGGGCACCCGGAATATCGCACTGGTGAACAAGAGATCGGACTATCTCACGGCAGAGCTTGGAGTTCCAGCAAATTGGTGGTTTAAGGACACCAAGCCTCGGCCTCAAGCTGATCCGTAGGATCAAGCTCAGATTGACACGTATAACTGAAAGGTGGCACGCTTGCAATAGAGTTTTGATTTGGGAAACTTAGTTCATTCGATTGAATCTGGTAAATATCTTGATTTGAAAAACTTTGACACAAACAATTTGCTTGCGTTGTTTCCCTTCTTGAGCTCCTTGGCCACAAGGGAGTGCGGTGCAGCTGAGGAGATTGATGATGCAGCTGCAGTGAGCAATCCATGGCCGTGGCCAAGGGATAGATTCCTTGGGACCTAGCAGGAGTATCTGGTAATTAAGAAAAAATCCTGCAGCAAATTATTTAATGCATAGCTTCAATTTACTTTAATAAATATTAGCATGTATGTTTTCAGATTTAATTTTATTAGTTGATATGAACCAAGCGTCACTTGAAAATTATATTTGCAATACTTGAAAAGAGAGAGCAGCTGATTCAAAACCAGAGCAAACAACATAACCTGCAACTGCATTTTTTATTTTACAATCATCAAATATATTATTTGTTATAAAAATAATCCACCATGGATAATTAAAACTAATAGTTATACATATAGATTATTATGCTTTAAACTTGAATAAAGATTTCCATTCAAGATCAGTTTATTCCACATTTTCCTTTAGAATCTTATATCAGGAGAATCTTGAATGCTCATCCTAATGGAAGACTATGATTCAAATGGTTTTGAGAGTTGATGATAATGGAGCTTGCATGCACTAGGATAAAAGTTTGTTTTAAAAGTTTTAACAATTTCTTTTGATGATCACTTGAGGTTGCAATATCTAGAATGCAAGTAGTGATAAGAATTACTTCCATTTTGGTTTCTATCATCACTAAATGATTTTAAAAAATAAAATAAAATAAAATAGTCAACTTGCATGATCAATTAATCATACTAAACCAAGATGAGTGCTCCAAAGACAAGATGTGCATTAGTTTTGTAGCTTATTTATCAATATTAGCTTATAAATAGTGCTCAAGTCCATATATACCACCACCACCTTCCTATCCTAAGCTGGAGAGAAAGTCTTGAAAAAGTATGGACATTTCTTTTTGTCGACCACCATACTTTTGAAAAATAATTTAATGTGGCCTTCATTAATTACGGTAGATATGTGATTTGCTTAGGATATTTATTGCCAGATTTTATATTATTTCCATGACATTTGATGTATCCTCTCCTGCATAAATTGAGCCTTAGGACCATGATGACTTGTTTGAATGTAGGGAAGAATTAACATGCAGATGCAAAGTAAATAACCACCCTGGACTGCCTGTGCCACTGCTCTAGATTAGTCAATCTTTGTTAAAATAAACTAACTAAATTTAACTTAATCATCCTTAAACCATATAGATGAATATTAATCCCAGGGTTATAACAATCCTTCCTCCAGTCTGATCACATTTCTTGGCTCCATCTTTTTTTCCTCAGCCTGAAACATTTAATAGGAATTTACTTGAGATTCATTCCTTGTCAAAACACCTTTTAGCAAATATGGGGGATTTTAAATATAGTATAGATAATAGTTGGAAATATAAGTGATTATTTGGAACATTAATTTTCAACTGTGTCATTCCTTGTTTTACATCTAACTTGCCCAAATTCCATGCTACTTTAGTTAATGGGGTATCTATTTTCTCACATTAGGCCATTGGTATGTTATTCTGAACTCAATTTGACACTATTTTATATGCAAAAGTTGAATATAAGGAAATGGTGTTTTTTTGAGTGCATATTAAACTTTTGTTCATAGAATAATAGGCTTGGAATTTAGCTTGGAATTTGGCTCTAAACTTAAGTGTCTTATATTTTAGTGCCACTATGCTAATTGTTGTTAGGGCAGGGTACCGGGGGAAGTTTTTCAAGGGGGAAAATTTTTAACCCCTTGTTTCATGTACCCCACCAGTGACGTGGCAATGGAATTGGGGGAACCTGATGTCCCCCCCCAAAATTTCTCCCGGTGCCTGAAACCCGGTAGAACAAGTCAATAAAATAGTACCACGTATAAAAATAGTAATCATTGCTTAAAAAAGACAAAACAAATTTAACTGAGTTGGCAAAAACTATATTGATGACATGACATTTTAAACGTGGGTTACATGTAACCTTAAAATATTCGAAGGGGGAAGTTTTTTTTTCCAGGGTGAAAAAATTTCCAGGTGGGGGACACATGGAACCCCACCCTTATAGAAAAACTTGACAGAAAATAAAAAGTTATTCTATTTATGCATAGTGCATCTTAGCATGTCTTCAACCACTTGGTTGATTCACTCAATCTATTCATCTCTCTAAAGATACTTAAATTGATGTCAATCTTCATGAGCTTTGTAAAGCTTCTCCAAAATTCAAAGCTGGCAAGCATTGATTGGAAATCCCAACCCCATGTAATTAATCATCTCCTTGATGAACCACTTGGAGTCTTGATTGAGGAAAGGCTCCATAGAGTGGCGCCACCACACTATTGCCGTGTCATATGCAATGTGTTGACCAACATTGATGTTCAACTTTGTAATGAAAATTCATTATGTCACTTGAATTTATAATTCCCTCTAAATAAGAATGAAGAGTGAAAGTTCAGTGAAAGTCTTCTAATCAAATACGCAATACCTCCTTCCATATGATTGACCCTGTGGGGTGGTGTGGTTTGAATTTTGACTGTTATGTTTCCCATTCGAGAAGAGAAGAGACCAACGTGAGAATTTCGTATATGCTTCTTTTGACCCGGTGGCAAACTTTGAAAGCGATACTGCTATAAATCCTCTGCCACAATCTCAGCATTCCAGCAGCAATTTACACGAAGGGAGAAACAAGAAGGGGAGAAGTTCTTTACAAAGCGATCATCTGATTCATTGCAACCATACTCGCCAAGGAGGAGCTGATCGATCGATAGGCGTATCAACAATTTCCAAGCCCATCAAAGCCTCGGGAGCGAGCATCGAGATCATGGCACGAGTTTCATTGTCACTGTCATTCAAGAGAAGGACGTTGGAGAGATCTGATGGAGATGGTCATGGCGCGCGGGTTGTGGAGCTGGAGGAGACGCAGCTGTCAGGCTGGCGGGATGCATGCCACTGGAGTCCGCTCCTCCCGCCCGCCAACGCCTCCATCGACGATCGGCTCCGGCGGGAGATCATCCGATACGGTGAATTTGCGCAGGTTTGCTACGACGGCTTCGAATACAGCGAGGGCTCGGAATTCTGTGGAGACACAAAGTTCTCCAAGGAGGAGCTGCTCCAATCCGTGGGACTCCCAAGCACGGGATACGAAATCACGGCCTATCTCTACGCGACATCGCAGCTGGGCTTGCCCAGTTTCTTCAAGCGCTCCAATTCCAACGCCCAACCCGGCGACGACTCGTGGACGTCGGACACCAACTGGATGGGCTTCGTGGCGGTTGCCACGTCGGACGAGGCCATCCGACGGTTGGGACGCCGCGACATTGTGGTGGCCTGGCGCGGGACGGTGACGCAGCTCGAGTGGATCGAGAACCTCAAGGATCTCCTCCGCCCCACCGGGCTCGACCCCACGGATCACAACACCAAAGGCGTGAAAGTGGAGACGGGATTTCTCAGCATCTACACGTCTCCAGTCCCCGGCGATCACGACGGGATGAGCGCGAGGCAGCATCTCCACTCGGAGATCAAGCGATTGGTCGGGCTCTACCAGGGTGAGCAGCTGAGTATGACGTTCACGGGCCACAGCCTGGGTGGCGCGCTTGCACTCCTCAGCGCCTACGACGTGACAGAGCTTGGGCTGCCCGGGAGCAATACCCCGGTGTCCGTCTTCACATTCTCGGCACCCCGAGTTGGGAACCGGGGTTTCAAGAACAGGTGCCTCGAGCTCGGGCTCAAAGTCCTCCAGACACGCAATGGCGCAGACCTGGTGCCCAAAGTTCCAGGGGTGATTGTCAACGAGGACAGCTGTGATATCAGCTCGCTCATCTTCCACAGGTTCCCATGGGCCTACACCCATGTTGGCACCGAGTTTGAGCTCAGCAGCGACATCTCTCCGTTTCTGAGGGAAGATGGTGGCTTGACCGATCTGCACAACTTGGAGGCCTTGCTTCACCTGGTTGATGGCTACCAAGGGCCGAGCAAGCCCTTCAGTGTCTCGGGCACCCGGGATATCGCACTGGTGAACAAGAGATCGGACTATCTCAAGGCAGAGCTTGGAGTTCCAGCAAGCTGGTGGTTTAAGGACACCAAGCAGTAGAGCCCGTCTTTCTTCCATCACGATCATGGTGGTGGACTTTTACAAACTCATTCTTTTACGGAGGCCTCACGCTAACCAGTAGGACCAAGCTCAGTTTGGCACGTATATCTGGAAGGTGGCACGCTTGCAATGGCCTATAGAGTTTTGGTTTGGAGAAGTTCCTTTGATTGAATATTGTAAATAGACTGTTCATCTTGATTTGAGAAAACGTACTTTACATTTTCCTATATACATCATGACACAAGCAATCACGTCGATTTGCTTGCATTGATTGCCTTTTTGAGCTCCTTGGCAACTGCAGACGCCGAAGGAGCGGGAGGTGGCGGAGGGCCAGATTTCTCGGGAGCTACAGCAGCAGTATCCGGCGGCCGTGGCTTGTGTTGTTTGCTCTGGTATTGATTCTGTTGCTCCCTATTCTTGTCAGCGGCCGGAGCAGTAGCATCGGCATCAAATTCCTTCTTCCCCGGGATTGGCGATTGCTGACTCCTGTGGAAGTTCTCGTAGTCGGCCAATGGTAGCACAGCTTTGTCCATGACTATGGAAGATGGCATCTCCGTGGGGGTGCTTCCCCTGCTGTTAAAGTTCCTTCGCATCTCCTCCAGTGTGTTCCTCAGAACTCGGTTCTCGCTGTACACCAGATGGAGTTGCCTCCGTATGGAAGAACACATGGCCGCGACCTTGTTAAGCTCTTGGTTCTCCTCCATCCAAGCTTGCTGAGCTGCTGCCATGGAATCACTCATGCTGTCGGGCTTCGCTTGATCGTCCTTGGGCTCGATGCTGTAGAGGGTGATCTTGTCGAGCTTGAGAACCGGGGAGCTCAATCGTGACCAGAGCTTGTGAGGATTAGAGGCCAGAGTCTCAACCAAATCTCCAGGGACTCCCACTCGCCATCTTATTCCAGCGTACACCCGTTGCCCCAGGGGAAGGCTGCTGTGCGCTGCTACACTCCACCCCTTGAAGGCAGCCGGGGTGGTGCTGAAACCTTTTCTTCGTGTTCTTGTCATCGTTCCAGCGTCGGGGATCACCCAGCCATCGTCTTCCAAGCAGCCATTCACATTCTTGGTGCTGCTTGTTTTCTCCTTGTCAAATGCTTTGGCCAGCTCCGCAACACTCACGCCATTCGAGGCAGTCGCCTCGTCCGGCGATTCTTCCTTGCTTGGTTTGCGGCCCTTGAGCTCGATTCCCCTCACATTCTTGAGCAGCATGAAATCACCATTGCGCGGCTTGAGTGAAATGGAAAAGGAGGGTCGCTGCTGGCTCCAAGTTGGAAGCTTGAGCTGCGCGGAGATGGCGAGGCAGGAGCCCACGGGAGATCCCCAGGGCCCAAACCCTGCCTTGATCATCACACACACGGGCGCGTGGGAATCGTTGGGGAGAAACGTTACCCGGCATGAAGGCCCCGCCGCCACCAGCGTCGAGACGTGGAGCCCCAGCTCCTGGCTGCTGCCCATGCTCACGCCCGAGCAGATTGGCAGCCCCAGGATGTTGAGCGGGATCTTGGCTCGGAGCAGCGGCTCCTGCCCATCGCGCAGCTTGGCCGACGCCTTCATCCTCCCAAGAACCCTAGAATTGGATACACTGTAGACATTTACAAGATGTTCTCAACCTCCGAATACCGCCTCTACATCTCTCGCTTGCGCATCAATGTTGGCGATCTGTGAGAGCGACGTTGGAACAAATGCCGGAAACGTTGCGATTTACCTCTAGAACAAGTGCTTGCTGGGGCCTTGCGTCCAGTGCTTTGACACACAAGAGTGCCGCGTCTTCTCTGCTCATCATCCCTTCGATCTACAGAGGGAGAAGAAGAGTTTTGCGCGAGATGGAAACATGGCTTCTGCTTACCCCGGAGCTGTCTTCCACTTGATCAACTCTCCTGACCTTGAAACCCCTGACACCGCCTGGTTCGTCTCTTAGCATCGCTGGCCGGAGTATGGTGTATGGAACACCGAGTTTTGCGAGAGCAGCTTCGTCTCGGAGAGCGTCTTGTGCTGATCCTGACCGGAGCAGTGACTGGAGGCCTCTTGCTGCGCGGGAGCTTGCGAGCTGCACGGCGATCATCACAGATGAACATGCATAGAAGTGTATGTTACCTCTGAGACGTAAACAATGTGTTCCACTCCTTTCAACATCTTCTTGTCATTCTCAGCCAGAGCTCCCAGCTATAAAAGAAGAAAAAGGAGAAATTGTAACAGGAGCAAAGGAAAACACTACCTTCTTTGGGCATATAATGGCTCGCACTTCCTTGCATGCTTTGATCAGACTCCCCCTGTCGTTCACAGTGCCAACGATGGGCTTTACAAAATAGGCTTTTTGCATCAGACTGCCAAAGAAATCTCTTACCTCCACATAGGAACCAAAAGCATTGGTGGCAAGTTTCACGTCGCGAACTAGAACCCGAACTCGACAGCGTTGGACAATGAGAGACAGCACCACTAACTGCAACCAGAATTCTTGGTATCAAAAAGAGAGGAAACACGAGGAAAAAAAGAAGTTGCTCAACCTGACCAGTCTCGCTGTCTGCATCAGTAACAAGAACAGCATCTCTAACTCCTCCCTCTTCTTCTTCTTCTTCGTCTTGGTTATCGTCTTCTTTTTTCTCCTCTGCTTGTCGATATAAGTCAGATAATCCATTTCTCAATCAAAACACACACGTACCTGCAAACTTGGTAGATTGCACATCTGGTGCTCCATACCACTTCCTCATTTTCGGGCCTCCTGGAACAATGAGTTGAACAACGTTAGCGCGGGACGTAAGAGAGCCTTACCTTCGATGTAGTCGAGCAATTTGTCTCCAAAGGAAATAGATTTGTTGCCTTTCTCCATACATACTGTTGGTACTGCTACTTTCACCGGTGATAGCAAATTCTGCCTCAATCTGGAGCTCACCGGAAGGATATGACCAGCTTTTAAGCGTGCCCAGGAAATAGACGCGAATGCAACCATGGATTCTCTTATGTTGCTTCCTTGCTCGCTTGCCTTATCGCTTTCCAGTGGTGTAAGTCAATGGCTCCAAAGTTAAGCATAAGCATCCAGCTTAACGGTAGCTGCGTCCGTCTTAGAATCATCCTCGACGGCAAACATGCTGGATAAAAGCACGTAGGAAGCTCCATTGCCGGACTCTAGCTGCATTACGCGCTTCGCAGCTCGCTTTCCACGATCTACATCTCCGTGAACTTTGCAAGCTGACAGGAGAATGGCCCAAGCCCAGTCATCAGCCACAAATGGCATCGTTTCAACTAGCTCTTCTGCTTCGTTCAGCCGCTTGGCACGCCCCAGCATGTCTATCATGCAATGGAAATGCTGAATCGTGTGTTTCAATCCATAGCTCTCCAACGCAGCCATAAAATAAAAACGGCCACTGTCCACCATGCCTTTGTGGCTGCAGCCAGTGAGGAGGCAGAGCACCGACACTTCATTGGGCTTCACTCCCTCACAATCCATGTCCTGGAAGATCTCGAAAGCCGAGCAGCAGTGTCCATTGTGAGCATAAACTTCGAGCATAGCCGTCCAGACCACTAGATCCCGTTGCGTGGTGGTATCAAACAACACCTTTGCTTCCACCACCCGGCCATATGACCCATAGGCTGTAATCAAAGCAGTCTTTGCTAGAAGATCCTCCTCGGGCATACTATCCAGTAAACGCTTCGCTTCCACGAGGTATCCAGTCGACCCGAGAGCAGTGATCATCAGGTTCCACGACAGGAGGTTCCACTCGGGCATCTCACTGAAGAGAGCGGCAGCTTCATCGGTATAGCGGTTCTGACCGAATGCAGCGACCATGGCATTCCAGGACACGAGATTGTGCTGCGGCATTTTGGAGAAACCAGTCCAGGCTTCGTCCACTCGACCAGCTTGTCCAAACGCGTGAACCATCGCTGTGAAGGAGACAACGGTGTGCTGGGGCATTGCGTCGAAGGATTCCTTGGCCGCTTCCATGTCGAAGTTGTCGAGGCAGGCCGCCATTCGCGAGTTCCACGACACCAAGTCCCACTGCGGCATACGCTTGAATGTGGACTCGGCGTACTTGAGCTGCTCGTTCTTGCCGTAAGCTGCCACCATTGCGTTCCACGACACGACATCACGCTGCGGCATCGCTTGAAACATGGTCACGGCCTCCCGGACGTGACCATTCTGAGACAAACCCGTGAGCATGGAGTTCCACGTCACCACATCCCGCTCCAGCATCGAGTCGAACATGTCCCGAGCCTTCTGGAGCTGGTTGCTCTGCGAAAAGGCCGCAATTGTGGGGTTCCAGGACCCAACATTCCAGCATGGCATCCTGTCCAGCGTTTGTAGCATCTCCTCGTACTGGCCATTCTGAAAGTAGCCGTGGATCATGGAGTTCCAAGTCGTCACGCTGCGATACGACATCGTCACAAACACCCGGACGGCCTTGTCAAGTTCTCGGCTGTGCACGCATGCCTGGACGATGATGGTCGCAGCCACGATATCCCGCTCCGGCATCCGCTCGAACAGATCCACCGCCTCACGAAGATGCCCGTTGTTTGCATGAGCAACGATAATCGAGTTCCAAGAGGGAGCGTCCCACTGGGGAGATTTCTCAAAGAGAATGCGGCTCTCAACAAGATGCCCGCTCTGGGCATAAGCCTGAAACATAGACGTCCACGAGATAACGTCCCTGTGCTCCATCCTGAAAAACATGCTCCTTGCTGCATCCACCATGCCGTGGTGGGCGTACACCATGAGCATTGCGTTGTACGACACGGCATCTCTCCGCGGCATCGAATCAAAGATGGTGTAGGCACTTTCCAGATCCCCGCTTATGGAATGTGCTGCGAGCATAGTGTTCCAGGTGACCAGGCTCCATGCCGGCATCCGCTCAAACATCTGTGTCGCGGGTTCTAGGAGCTCCTGGGTCTGTGCAAGGATCATGGTGTTCCAGGAGAGAACATCACGCACCGGCATCCACAGAAACGTGCGTGCCGCTCCCTCGAGGTCTCGCTCGCGGGCCAGGATCTTGAGCATGACATTCGAGGAGACGACGTTGTGCTGCGGCATCCGCGAGAAGGCAGCTGCCGAGTCGTGGGCTCGTCCATTCTGCTCGTAGGCCGCGACCAGGATGTTCCAGGAGAAGACGTTTCTGCTGACGATCCCGTCGAAGGCCAGCCTCGCGTCCTGGGCGCTGCCACACTTGGCATACATGTCAACCAGGAGGTTCCCGAGGAACCTGTCCTCCCGGTGCTCGCTTCCCAGGATGTTGGCATGGACGCGCTTGCCCTGCGCGAGGTTCCTGGAGGTGGCACACGCGCCAAGAGCTCGCGCAAACGCAGTCACCTGTGGGTCATCGACCGCTCGCCGTGGTAGCATCCATCAATTCCAGACAAGGTGCGAAATCGTTGGGAACATGGTCAGCACACGGTCAGCTTGACTTTGATTGGTCAAAATGGATTGGATCGGATAGAGATGAGTGAGATCACTTCAAATGCGAGGTTCATATGTGTTTGTGACAGCATGGTCACAGCTCTCGGAATCTCCATGTCAATTTCAACAAACATCCACCTACCAGTTAGTTGCTCCGCCATCTTGGAGAGTTATATCTTGAGCTCTTCGTTTTCCTTCTCAAGTCTCAGACATCTATATGCATTGCGCCACCTTACAATCCCCTGCAGATCGAGAACGCTGGAGCACGCAACGCGATGGAGGAAGGCAGTGGAGACGAGAAAGGGCAGGCGATCCAAGAGCTTCTGAAGAGCTGTCCCAAAACAGTTCCGCAGCGCTTTGTTCAGCCGGATGGCTACGGTCCCAGAGACAGGCGTTGCACCACCTTGGGCCTCGAGATCCCAGTCATTGATATGTTGCACGACAGGAGCACAATGCTGAGGGAGCTCAAAGAGGCATGCCAGGATTGGGGCTTCTTTCAGGTCTGCTATAAAGATTGTGGTTGTGAACTGTGATAATTGACCAAGCTGTGCGCATGCAGGTTGTCAATCACGGAGTTGACATGGAGGTGGTCCGAAACTTGAGGAGGCTGGCGTATGAGTTCTACGTGATGCCGTCTCAAGAGAAGCGGAAGTGGAGGAGGAAGACGGGAGAGAGTGCCGGGTATGGTGCCTTCGGGAAGTCATCCGATGGAACAAGCGATTGGGTCGACACTCTGTGCATGTATCTGTCCCCGGAATCGGCCCGCAATGTGGAAACGGTGTGGCCCGACAAGCCCGAGTTGCTCAGGTCCTTCAAAATGCATGGTGTATTCAAGGTTGACGATTTGCTTGTGCACAGGGTCTACGTGGATGAAGCTGGAAAGCAGATCGGAGAGTACGCACAGAAGCTAGCAGCCGATCTCTCTGAATCACTCGGCTTGCCCCGCGATCACTTCAAGGAAGTTTTGGCGGACAGTGTTGCGAGCCTTCGCCTTAACTTGTATCCCTTGTGCCCCTTTGCTGATCGAGTCCTGGGCGTGGGAGCCCACTCAGACATGGACACCTTCACCATCCTGATCGAGGAGAGCGAAAAGGAAGGCCTCGAGGTGCTCAAGAATGGCTTGTGGCTGCCCGTCAAGCCCGTACGCGACGGTCTCATTGTCAACATCGGCGATGTCACACAGGCAAGCTAGTACACGAAAGATTCATATCTTAGCTTAGCCCTTGTAACTGTGAATGGGTCAGGTGATAAGCAATGGCAAATACAAGAGCCAAGGGCACAGGGCTCTCGTCTTTGAGCACTCGGAGCGCGTCTCTATCGTCGTCAATTATTCTCCTCTTCCCGGCGTGAGCATTTGCCCCGCGCAAGAGCTGCTCAGCTCTAGCCATCCAGCCATGTACAGGCAATCCAGTTACGCGGACTATATAGATTTGTGTCAAGCCGACAAATCGCTGGGCCGGGATCGCGTTGATAGTCTACTGTGTTGATTGAATTGAGTGAAGCTAAATGATAATTCTAGGGATTGACACTTGGCATGTATGCGAGCGTCCAGATGGCAAACGTTTAGTCATGGTGTTTATAAAGTGCTCAAACCACACACACAGGCAAAGAATGGAGCCCAAGAAGAAGGATTTCGAGGGAACGGGCAAGCTGTACGCACCTCAAGAGCAGCTCAAGGACGTTGCTCGTGTCCAAGAATTGGACGAATCGGTGGGGCAAGGATCGCTCTACGCGCCCCCAAAGCGTGGTATGTGTGTTTCCGTGAGACGCTTGTTCCAGCTTTGAGCAGCGCTTCTCACCAGGGACTGCTGTAATTCAAGCCTCCAAGGAGGTGGCGTCGGATGTGAGAGCCGCTCTCGTGCTGATGAGGGACACGGTGATGGAGAAGCTCGCTGTGCTTCCTCTACCTGTGGAAGCTGTGGAGGCGGGGAGGAAGTCCATGGAGAACCTGATCAAGGAGGTGTCTCACACTTACGACAACGCCAAGGGTGCCGTTCAAAAGACCAAGGACCGCATTGCAGAATCGATCATGCCCCCAAATCCTGCAAAAGACGCCAGCCAGGTACGTAAGATTCTGACAACACGATTTGCAAACTCCTGCATCAGGTGGCAGAGGAAGTAGACCATACTGTTTTGGAGAATACCGAAGGCCGTGTCCCTGAAACCCATCACTCAAAGGCCTACGAGAATGTCACTAGTGGTAGTGCCTCAGCGGATGCTGCCAAGATCAAAGCTCGCTTGTAAACTTGTTATTTGCTATAATGCGCTTGCTGTTGCGTGTTCCGGTCATGCTAGAATTTCCGCAACAAATCTGGTTGTAGGTGACTTGATTTCCTCTTGGCTCTGGACTAGCTGCAGCTCCGGCTGCTTTGCCTTCACTTGCACGCCTTCCTCCTTGTAAACAGACAGAGTTTTGTGCAGAACGGCCTGTTGGACAAGCTAATTAGTACGCAGCATTCCCCACAAGGAAAGAACAAAAATAACACCACAAGTCACACCTGGAGGCTCGAGACAGCCAACTCTGCTGCAGTTTCAAGACTATCCGGATATCTCTGCTTTAAAAAATCAGCCAAGGAAAGCACAACGTCGGTCTCAAACTTACATGGCTCCAGCCGAGAAGCAATGAGGTCATCAGGTCCCCCGTCCCCTGCAAAAGTGTAGGGTGATGAAAACCAACGTGCAGAAGCCACTCCAGAAAAGGTTACCGTAAAGTACATGGGAAGTTTCGGTATGGAGATCTGAAACTGTCTGAACGACTCGCCCTGTGAACACAGCATCTCAAAACACTCTCAAAGAGAAGAGACCACGAACCTTCTTATGACTTCCAACAAGCAATAGCTTCTCGTCCGCGTCCATGCTGGTGATCACCACCTGTACACAATCACCGGGTCCGCAAGATAGAAAAGTTCAGAAAAGAAATACCTTTGACGGCCCGGCGCCATGGAGATCTCTGCAGGCTTGCCTCGCATCATGTGTCGTACGTATGCTGTTCAAACAGTTGCGGTTACAACACGAACAATGGACCATCGATGTACCTGCGGCCAGTCAGCCGCTCTGCTTCGAATTGGTTCGGTGTCAGCATAGTTGCTACAGGAACGATCTAAAGTATCTCAAACATGAGAATGCCGCCGGGCACGATAGACCAACAAGTTACCAGATCTCTAAACAGCGGGACTAGCTCAGGAGCGACGTACAGCCTCCCTTCATCACCCATGACAGGATCACAAACTGCATGCATTGCGTGATGAGAAAGATAGTAAGAAAATGGAGGGAAACATACCTACCGTAAACGAGATTGGGATTCACGGACCTCAGCTTCTCGATGACCCTGTGAACGGTTCTCAGGAACGAAGCCGATCCGATGTAGCCTTGAGAAGAGTACGTACGAGTGAGGAGGAGAATGAAGGAGATGAGTTGCTAACCGGTCAAGAGATGCGTGTAAAAGAGCAAGTTATTCGCTTCTAGTCCTTCGATGAGAGCCCAGAGCTGGTCCCCGTCCAAAACTTGGCCGCGCCACACTGGATATCCTGCACCTCTAGAGAGCGCACGCTAAACAAACTGGGAAAAGAAAACGAGAAAAGCGAGGAGCGCATTGCTCTTGCCCGTGTGATTGGAGAACTGTACGGAGTTGATCGGATCAACATCGAATCCCAGGAGCTGCAAGGGAAAGACCGCCGATTTATTTCCAACGTATCCCTGTCTCGAGTAGAGTAAAAGCTCGGGATCACTTGCAATCCAGTGAGATATTGAGCGCTTACATGCACGGTGTGGGATTGGATGCTGAGGACGCGCGCGCCATGTCCCGACAGCGGCGCCATGGGACAAAACAACACTGCTATAAGCCCTAGAAGAGTTTAGGGCTTTTGCTAGTTTATTGGTGTTAGGGCGGGTGTGCCAAGGGAGGGACGACGCTGTCTCGTATGGGCTCATGGCTGACTTGAAGCCCCCGCCGCTATGGAAGGTACTAACACACGTACCAGCCGCTGCTTTGTCTGAATCAGTGGTGATTTTAGGAGCGGAGAATGTAGGTGCCGCCAGCAGCACGCCAAGGAAAGGTTTTCTTTTCTTTTTTCTTGTTTGGTTTCGCGGCCAGCAACTCGGGCATTGGTGTTTGCATTTGCCAGATAGCAGGCGACCCAAGAGCGACCGGGAGCGCACGAGAGCGAGCCATGGATCCGATGCCGAGCTAAACATGGGAGCGTCTCAAAACAACAGCAACGGGGAAGGAGCCCGGAGAAGACGGGAACCAACCGAGGAATCCGCTAGAACTTCGGACCTGAAACAAGGCGCTGATTCTGATGCCGGTGAGAGGCCGCACAAAAGGAGCAAGCGGCAAAGTCCCTCCTCCGATCCACGTAGAAGAAACAACCGGAGCCGAAGCAGGTCTCCCCGAAGGAACAGGTATCTAGCTCGTAGGCTACTGGTCCTGCTCAACTCAAATGCTCCAATGTTGTTGCAGTCGTAGAAGTCGCAGCCGGAGTAGGAGCCCCGTGCCGCACAAGCGTGGCGATCCAAGGGCTAATGTAGAGAGGAACCGACAGATATGCTACGACTATTCCCGAGGAAGCTGCACCAAAGGATCTTCATGCAAGTATATCCACGACGATGGCGAAGGGAGGAGAAATGCCGCGGATTACCATGGAAGAGAGAGAGCTCGCAAGCTTGACGAGGGTCCTAGACTGCAGGAACAAACACACACCTCGATGATGCCAGAGAACGGGCAAGTTAACCATTTGCCTCCACCTTACGGAGGAGGCACCAGCTACATGGGCGTAAATGACTCCCAACAGCAAGTTTGGATACCACCACCAGCAGTAGCAGTGCATCCTCCAGAACAAAACACACTGTACCAGTATCAACTAACGCCCCCGCTGCCGCCGCCGCCATTTATTCCTCCATTTGGCGCTTTTATTCCACCACCGCGGCAACAAGACCATATTACTACATCCATGAGCTTGGGGGAACCTTTGATGGAGGCTATAAGTCCCGATATGCCCGGTGCAAAACATGATGAGGGGCATCAAGACGCGAGTGGCGCAAAGATGCCTGAGCCTGAGATGGACAAGGATTCCCCACAGATTGCAGAAAGCGCTGACGAGCCTGATGCAGACCTGGACGCTGAGGCAGATGAAAAGAGCGGCCAAAAGAAGACTAAGAAGAAGAAGGCCAAAGACAGTAAAGCCGCAATGCTAGTGAGGGTAGCGGTGACTGAGTGTGTCAAAGACTGTCTCCAACCCAGGTGGAAGGAAGGAAAAATGAGCAAAGACGTATACAAGACTATTGCAAAGAAGGCTGTGGACAAGGTGGTAGGTACTTTGGAAGGTAATCACATTCCAAAGACTCCTGAGAAAGTCGATCATTTCATCGAATTTTCTCGTCCAAAAATCTCCAAACTTGTTCAGGTAATCAATGCTACATCGCTGTCTGAAGCTTATGTGGTGTTCTTTTGTCTTTCGATCAGGGATATGTGGACAAGTATCTCAAACCGGCATAGTGTCTACAGATTCTGAGAAGCTAAGTTTGCTTGTACGTATCGGTTGAGTGACGATAGATTTATTTCTGTACATGCTTATTTTGTGTTGATTAATGTTTCTCTCTTCCTTGTTCTACCTCGAGCATTTCTAGTGGTGCCATACGGTGTAACCAGGTAGGCCGACTTTCTGATTTGCCTTGCACCTGGAAACATGTGTATGTTTCATGTAGCCTACACCCACGTACACTTCACCGTCTGACGCTCCGCATTCATCAGTACTCATTCTGACTTTGAGCGGCCTGTGAACTGGTCCCTTAAAGATTTGCTTTTTGGTTGCCGCCACAGACCTGGGTCTTCCTCTTGGTGACGAGTAAACCATAGCACTACATGCGTCTTCTTCCGAAGACGATCCAGATAATGGACAAGGTGGTGGCTCAAACTCTGGGCTGTCGAGAAAGTCTTGGAACTTGTCGTCAATCTCCCGTTGCCGATCACAGTCACTGTCCTCGTATGATCGACCCAGGCAGCAGCTTGAAAGTGGGATTGGAGAACGCTTTCCTGACGATAGGCAGCATGGAGGTGACATTCTATAGCAGGGTGATCCTCTTCTACTGGATGTCTGGCTCGATCTCCGGCTTCGAGCAGATGTTAAAGGCGATATTGAATACGAGACTCCTGGCCTTCTGGGATTTGGACTTCTCCGCCTAGGACTGCATCGAGGGCTGGACTTGGTGCTGGGAGTGGCAGGATATGATATACCAGGTTGACGCGGGTTGAGCCCGGCGCTTGCACAGCTTCTAGGACTTTCAAGGTGGTGGTAACAAGGGGAAGTTGAGAGCCGCACCTCAATGTCGTGTTCTAGGGGTGGCGGACTTTTTGGATTGTGTTGGAGATGCTGGTGCAGACGATCTCGATCGTGGTGAGCCTGTTGCTGGTGGTGTTCCATAGGAGATTTAGAAGAAGGCATACCGTCTTCCAACCAGCGGAGTATCTCGCGAAGGGCAACACTCGACTGCTTCACAGAGCTCCTTCGTTGTGACGATGACGATGCGGCAGAAGTGAAGCTCTCCATCGAAGCAGCTCGGCTGAATCTTCTTGGCTGGCACACCATGAACGCAAACTGGCCTTGCCTGGTGAAACCGGCCGATCCAGAAAGCCAGGCTTCTCCCTCCGTGGAGAACTTGACGATCGAGTCTCCTTCCATGGTTACCCGCCCCTCGCCAACTTTCAAGTTCCTCGAAGTCGACGGCTTGCTCCCTTGAGGTGCACCCAGGATGTACACCTTGGCATCGACTCCTATTGGGCCTCTACCTTGGCTGAGTTCTATGTTGAGTGGAACTACTGGAGAGACGTCGTCACAGGCAATAGCCGTAATGTCAAGTGCAGGATTGGTGATAAAAAATCTGCAAAGCAAGCACAGAGGTGAGTGATTTTGGATTTTGGATTTTGCTTCCTTACTTGCTTGGCAGGAGCTTTTGTTTCAAGGTGGTTTGCGTGGGACAGCAACCCATGGCGGGGTAGCTGAGGGCCATCTCGCCTTCTTTGGCACTGCTGACGCTGGGTATGGTTCCATGGCTGGTGAGTATGACATTCTTTCGTATAATGACTCCAATTCCTTCGCCATCTTCGGTCCCGTTGTTCAGGTGGCTCAGCAGAACAATGGACGGCTTTTTTGTTGCGACTACACCCTTCACAGAGGTATCGGGCTGCACAACATCTTTGCCTTTCTTAGTGTGCTTCTTGTCGTGCTTGTCGCATTTGTCTGGAGTCTGTTTTCCACCCTGGTTCTGCTCTTCGTTTCGACCGCCCTCGTCCTTTTTGCAGGAGGAGGATGGCGCGAAGCAACACAAGTTACGCAGTTTTAGCCTTTGTTTCTTGGAGAAGATTTTGATCCCCTTGGGCAGCAGCTTCATGCGCATCGTGATCGGTGTGTCATTTGCTGGAGTCCCTGGTCTGGTCTTTCTTTTTGTTTCTACGATGGTGCGACTCTTGGATCAGGTGCCATATCACACCACCTCTAACCGCCAGCCGCCGAGGGACGATTCAGGTGGCTCCAGCGCAGCAACGGTGACGGTTAGGCTTCGCGTTCACGTGAGGCCGAGCGCCTCCCATTCGGTTGTGCTTGCGGATGGACACACTGAACAAGCTGTGCTGTGTGGTTCCGCCGGCTTCCGCCGGAGAGATCGTGGCACCCTCACCGATCAACGAAGACGAAGTCAAGAAGAGCTTGATCGCTAGGGGGAGTTCCGTGGTTAGCGTCGACAGCAGCGATGGGTTTGGGATTATCATCAGCAAGGATGTCATCTTGACAACCAGTTCTACGTTTCCGGATCCAGCGGCTGCGGAAGGTGCAACCGTCAACGTCCGTACTCCTCCAGCCGCGTCGCTCGAGCTCAAGTTGTGGCCTCAGAGGTGCGATGCCGTTCGAATTCATAAATGGGAAGATGATGATCTTTGTTTGCAGATTCTTCGTGACCAACAGGGACTTGGACCTGACACTCGTCGCTTGCGACCCCATCACGACATCAGACGTGTCGCCGCTCATGTCCGACGCCTCCAAGATCTCTAGGCAATCACTGGAGGCGGGCTCTAAGGTGTACATTCTGGGGTATCCCAGGGGGAGCAAGATGGGCTCCAAGTCCAGTGCAGCGCTCGGAGAGGGGAGAGTGACGGTGAAGGAGGACAAGTTCTTGAGGATCCAGACGGATGGCCTGGTCTGGGCATCCGGCTCCGCCGGTTTCAACGAGCAGGGCCAGCTCGCGTTCGTGATTTGCAATCCCCACCAGTCCTTCGCAGCGGGGTCGTCATCGATTCACGGAGAAGAGCGGAGGGACGACAAGCAATCGGGTGTTTCCATCGGGGACGTTTGCTCGCGGCTCATTCAAGTTTGAATGGGAATATGCTCCGGGGATCTATATCTGGTTGAGTCAGCAAGCATCAAGCGTCATCTGTTACGCGCAAGCGTGACACGTGGCCCCAGCCACTTATCCCACGGCTGTCCTCGTCTGTGGAGTGCCGGCGCCCAAGAGGTTCCTCTCTCCCGCTCTCTCTGGTCTAGTCCGGGCTATGGTGTAGATAACGGAAGTAAGCAAGAAGGGGTCCTCCATTTGTGTCGATATCGGCTGCTCGGCTGGTTCATTGGAAATGCGGCCGTGGTTTGGAGTATGCTCTATAGAGATGCTGTCGTGGATGAGTTTTCGATGCGTTTGCCCTCGTTGTTGCTACTCCTCATGATAGTGACTCAAGCAAAGTGCCTGCTTTCAGGGATGGGACACCTCAGACTGTAGTTGCCAAAGGTTTCGAGGAATGGACAGGTGCCGAACTCTCATCTCAAGTATACCGTATTTCGGACTAGCTAAAGTGCGCTTTTTTCTCTCAGCATGGAAGCCGCGATTGCAGCTGGAGTTGGCGCTCATCCTTCGGCAACAGCAGCTAAGAGGCCTCAGCTCCCCAATAATTTCTTCAAGTTTCCTGCTCCAGCGCGTCTCAAAGCGATCCAGCACGTAAGTGTTTGAATTTTGTCATGCGAGGACGAATACGGATGGATGCCTGATGTTCGGATTGCAGTACATAAATTCGTTTGAGTACAAGCAAACACCGACAACCAGCTTCAACTCTCACAAGTTCAGACCACTGTCACGCATCATGGACACTGCGAAGATGGTAAGCAACTACATCGTTCTCATGGGTATGCTTCTCGCGTGTATGTTTCTCAGATGATCTATTCACCACAACCGATCAAGTGCGTGGAAGCAGTTTTTCTCGCGCTGTATCTCACAGTAAGGTTCTTGTGCCAGGTGCAACTCAGACAGCTTTTCCTTACTCGTGCGCAGGCAGGCATGCAGGATGTTGAGCGCATCCCTTTGAGTTTCAAGACACAAGAGGACGACAAGGTGCCATACAAAATGCTTCTCTCTTCCGTGGATCCGATAGACTGATGGTCGAATGTATACTAAAGTACAGGTGCACCAACATATAGTCTTACTGGTTCGCTACGGGGACAAGTATGGCGCCTTTGGGATAAGCCGGCGGACGGACCTCATGAACAAGGAGTTCGACTACGACAAGTAAGGATGCTCAATATCGCTCTCCCTCAAACACTGGCTTTTAGCTTACAGTATATCGAGCATTGTCGAGAACTACAAGCGAGCATACGAGAACCACATGCACACTGTGCTCAAGATACGCATTGGCCTTCCGGTACACACACTCTGCTCGTTGTCTAAGGCTTGCGATCTGTTTCGCGTCGGTGCAGGTGGAGCACAACGTTGAGTCTTACAATTTCATCTGCTGGCGATATTTGACGATCGCCCCTTGCACGCAGCACTGGGAACAAGTTTGTTTTCTAGCTTAGGAAACTTCATAACTCCATGAGTTGTTTTGTGCAGTGCTGCGACGAGATGGACAGACACGTCCAGCAGGGCAAGAAGCTGTGGGAGAAGTAAGCCATCTGTCTATCTTGTTCAAGGCTACATTTTCCTAGCTTTTAGGTGGTTGATCGAGGGACAAGGCGGAGCTGCCAAGACATCTGCTTTCAGGCAGTGCCAGAAGAAAGAGGACGATCCAAGGGCGAGGCCATCGAGTGTTTCCGCAGCGCTGGTGACAAAGCAGGTGACGACGGCTGCTACAGCCAAGGATTCAAGGCGGCCAGGGTCGCGCTCGAGAACTTTCAGGCTCGCAAGGGCCGAGGCGAGCGGCACTGGTAAGGTGATTGTTAGCAAGAGAGAAGGTAAAGTGTCAAGAGGCTGGAGTCGTCGAGCTAGGCTGGTAAAAGGCAGGAAGTCGAGCACGAAAAAGTTTGCATTGAAAGGTCGCACCATCGAGCTTGAGGTTGTGTCCACCAGGATCTGCGAGGCAGTCCCGTGCAGGTGTAAAGTTCAAATTACTGTGCTCAAGTAGAAGAGAGTGAGAGTTTGTTGTGTTTCTAGCCAGAAAAGAGTTGCTCATACTATTGAATGGTCTTTTGTGCTGCACAGTTACAGAGACGAGCAACACCACAACAGCCAGAGTAGGCTTTTGTGACATACCTTCGATTAGATATTTCAGTGAGGACTAGAAGGGTGGAAGGACAGAGAATGCGCAAGCAAATTTGTTCCTTTGCCCGGTTTGTAAAACTGGTTTGGTTGAAAATAACTGCTATAAATCATTTCTCCATCGTTTTAGCTCTGCCACTTCTCGCATGAAGCTCTTTGCGATTACTGTCATGGCTGCTTTGCAATGCGCTAGTCTTGCACTGAGCCCCGACTTCTATAGCGAGTCCTGCCCGGAAGCTCGGGCCACGGTCCTCGGTGTGTTGAAGAAAGCCTTGAAGCGAGACAAGAGGATGGCGGCATCGTTGCTTCGTCTCCACTTCCACGACTGCTTCGTCAACGTAAGTAGTGTCCCTGGCATTGTGATGAATCATCCACACAACCTCTTGTGCGGCAGGGCTGCGACGGCTCCGTGTTGCTGGATGACTTTCCGGGCTTCACTGGAGAGAAGACGGCACTCCCAAACGCAAACTCGCTGCGCGGATTCGAGGTTGTGGATGAGATGAAAGCGGCGCTGGAGAGGAACTGCCCGGGCGTTGTGTCGTGCGCGGACATCCTCGCACTCGCTGCTCAGCTCTCCGTTGAGATGGTAACTGTATAGCGTTGTTCTTCCAAGCTCACGGGTGGTAAAAGCGATGGATGCAGAGGGGCGGGCCGAGATGGAGTGTGGAGGTGGGAAGAAGGGACGCGTTGAGCGCGAGCCGCATCACCGCAAACAACGACATCCCCCCGCCAACGTCCAACGTCTCGACGCTGGTGTCCCTGTTCCAGAAGCAAGGGCTGTCGGTCCAAGACATGGTGATCCTCTCAGGTTCGTGAGCCCTTCCAAGGTGTAACTTGTGACGACGCTCCCAGTCTGGCAGGTAGCCACACACTGGGGCTGGCACGCTGCACCACCTTCAAGCCCCGGATCTACAACCACACGGGAACGCTGCGTGCCGACCCCGAGTTCGGCAGGGAGCTGCTGGTACGCTCCCGAATCCACTGCCCGCGCTTTGGCCACGGCAACCAGACGCTGGCGCTCGACTACCAGTCCCCGCATCGCTTCGACAACTACTACTTCCGCAACCTCCTGGCGCGCAAGGCCCTCCTCAACTCGGACCAGGTGCTCACGTACCAGTCGCCGCTCACCCGCGCGCTCGTCACCAAGTACGCCTACGACCAGCCCACCTTCTTCGCGCATTTCGCCGCGTCCATGCTCCGGATGGGAGGCATCAGGCCGCTCACGGGCGCCGCCGGGCAGGTCCGGCGGAGCTGCCGCGCGATCAACAGGGTGCGCTAGGGTTTTGCTAGGGCTTTAGCGAGGGGATGGCTGCAGCCGCTGCGGCCTGGCGGGTAAGCGCTGATTGGAAAACGCGAGCAGCAATGCGGTGGGCTTGTGGCAGAAACTGCGGGCGGGGCTGATTCCCCAGGTGACCGAAGGCCGGAGGTGGCTCTTGATCGATGCCAAGAAAGAGGTTTTGGTCTCGTCTCTCGTCTCTCTGGCATGGCTTGATCAGGGCTTGCAGGTGTTAGGGAGGCTGGCGAGCAAGCTGGCCATTGTGCTCATGGGCAAGGACAAGCCAACCTACAGCCCCAACAAGGACGAGGGAGATATCTGCGTGGTGATCAATGCCAAGCACATCACCTACACCGGCGGCTGGAAGCTCAAGAACAAGGTCTACTACTGGCACACCGGGTAACGCTGCTGCCCGCCTTGGCATCCGTATAGTCTTTTTTTCTTTTTGTCTTCCCTTGTGGCAGCTACATTGGGCACCTCAAGCAGATAAAGCTCAACCACATGATCGAGAGGGATCCCACGCTGCCGCTGCGCAAGGCCGTCTTCCGGATGATGCCGCGCAACAGGCTGCACCGAGTAAGGACTGTTGTTGCACCCGCTCAGAGTGTGATTGGTTGCTTTGCTGCAGAGGCGGATGCTCAAGCTGAGGGTGTTTGCGGACGAGAGGCATCCGTTTGATGACAAGCCCCTGGTTCCGTGGACCATGCCGCCGCGCAACATCCGCAAGCCCAGGATCTACGTGCCCCGTAGCATCAAGTTGGCCCGCCGGAAGCTTGCCGAGAGGGAAGCTGCTGCCGCTGCTGCTGCTGCTGCTGCTGCGGAGAGTGAGGGCGATGGCGGAACCGCAAAAGAAGGTGTGGACAGACCTCAGTGAAGATGCTACTGAAAAGAAGTTGTGCATGTAAACGAAGGCCCGAGTTGATGGATGCTCAAGCCCGTGTGTTTGATGCTCCAGAAAAGCTATCGTTTTGGCCGCCTTGTCGTTGGCAGCCTGCACCGTGTCCAATCCAATCTCGCTGCAAGCCACCCTTGCGAAGCGGCTGTCCTCTTCCAGCAACTTCTCCGACGCTTTGCCTCGCTCCAGCCCCTCCGCAATGCCCTACCTCCGCTGCCCGCTCGGCCTTGTCCACCGCGCTTCCCATGTCCGGCCCCTCGGCCTTGGCCACCTCTGGTTGGCGGTTATTTAGGTTGTGTTTTTAAAAGGAAGAACAGCCCTGGCTCGATTCCTGGGCGCATAAAACGCGAAAACGCAAGGTGTTGGCGCGCTATGGCAGCCGTGGTAGCCACGCCCAGCTACTGCTCTAGGGTTAGGGTTGAGAGGCCATGGCGGAGAGTGCGAGCTAGGCCGGCAAGAGTACAGCGGGTCATCGTATGTGCAGCCAGGAGAATGGAGCAAGATCATCACAAGCATCGGACCATCGAAATGCAACACGTCAACGGTGGTACGTGTGTGTGTGCTTCTTTGTTTACACTCCAATCTTTGTCCCCAGAGGAGGAAGGCAACCACGCTTCCATTCCCGAGCAGCCGCCAGCCATGAGCTCCTTAGGAAGCGAAATCAGGCGCTGGAGCGCTCTTGTCAAGACCAAGGCGTCGCAGCACATTCTAGGAGTGGAATTCTCTCCAGACATAGTTGCCATAACCATGGTCTACTTTGTCCAAGGCATTCTCGGACTTTCCAGGCTTGCTGTCAGTTTCTTCCTCAAGGATGATCTTCATCTCGATCCAGCAGAGGTTAGTCCGCCAGTCCTGTTTCCTTTTCGTTAACCTCGCCTCGTTGATCAGACAGCTATTCTATCTGGATTCTCTGCTTTCCCGTGGCTCGTCAAGCCTCTCTATGGCTTTATAAGGTTTGCGGGATCCATCATCGCACCAGCTTCGCTTCAGTACTAATTCTTTCAGTGCTTCCTCGTGCCAGCGACGGGCTCCCTCTGTTTGGTTACAGGCGGCGATCATATCTTGTACTTTGCGGACTTCTTGGAGCGGTTTCGTGGGGATCGTTGTCCGCGCTTGTAACCGATAAGTATGGTGCCGTGGCCATGATTTTCCTTAGTTCTCTATCCGTGGCTTTCTCAGATGTTGTAAGTAGCGCCTCAGATGTTGTAAGGAGAAGAACTAACTATGCTAATTTGAAGGTGGTCGACTCAATGGTTGTTGAGAGGGCACGGGGTGAATCGCAAGATACGTCTGGATCGCTTCAGTCGCTCTGCTGGGGATCTTCGGCAGCTGGGGGCATTATCAGTGCATACTTCAGTGGCTATTTTGTTCAGACTTATGGTGTGAGGTACGGTTAAGCATGCTTCACGTTCCAGTCTGATCCCGAAGAGGCAGGTTTGTTTTCGGCGTCACATCTCTTCTTCCACTTATCACGTCAGCCGTTGCCGGGCTTGTACAGGAAGAGCCGGCTTGGAATATCCAAACGTCCGGTACCGCTGACGATCTCAGAGTGGACTTTCGATCAGATGGTGTCTTCCAATCCGCGAAGAAGCAAAGCTTACGTTTGTGGAGGACTGTTCGGGAGCCAACAATCTTTCTCCCCACGCTGTTTATATTTCTGTGGCAGGCCACCCCATCTTCCGACACCGCCATGTTCTACTTCACGTAAGCTGCTTGTGTTGCTCGACTAGTTTAACCAATGTGTTTTGCAGAACAAACAAGCTGGGTTTTGGACCGGAGTTCCTTGGGCGGGTGCGGCTCATAACTGCGATGGCTTCTCTTGCTGGAGTGGGCGTATACAACAGCTTGCTGAAGCATGTGCCTCTCAGGAGAATGTTCTTTTGGACCACGCTACTGGGGGTTGGATTGGGTTGCACGCAGGTGATAACTAGAAATCTAGATTTGCGTTTTCAATTCACGGATGATGACGGACGTGCACGCCTGCAGTTGATGCTTGTCAACGGTTGGAATCGCAGTTTGGGCATTAGCGATGAATGGTTTTCCATGGGGGACTCGTTAGTGCTCACCGTCCTTGGCCAGGTGCATAATAAATACATACAGTTGTATGTGTGCCAGCCGAGGGAAAGAGCTAACTCTTTGTGTGTTGGTTGTACCACAGGTTTCTTTCATGCCAGTCTTGGTTCTGGCAGCCAAGTTATGCCCGCCAGGTGTAGAAGCCACGCTGTTTGCAACGCTCATGTCTATCAGCAATGGCGCGGGGGTGCTTGGGGGGCTCATGGGTGCGGGCTTGACACAGTTATTGGGCGTGTCAAGCCACAATTTTGACAATCTGGCCGTGTTAGTACTGGTGACCAACCTGTCGTCGCTACTTCCGCTGCCATTCCTGGGGCTGCTTCCGCCCGAGAGCCAGCTGCAAGACGCAGTGGACAGGGCCGAGAAGGCTTTGAATGACATGGAGGAGGCCAAGCGCGAGTAGGCAGGCGAAGGGCCTGGCGGTGTTGATGACGGATGCGATGGATGGCTGGGACTTTATAAAGGGAGGTAAAAAACAAAGGCCAGCCGTTTTGGCGAGTTGAGTGAGTGAGAGGCATTGCGCAAAGCAAGCCAGACGACTTGTTGACATGGGCGGCCTGGTCAACAGTGGGGGTCAATGCACTATAAAACCTGGGTGTCAGGAATCTCTCGTGCGGTGTGATCTTTTCTCCAAGTCAACGTGGCAGCCGGGCGTCATTGCTGCCATAATTGTTGTGATTAACTAGAAAACGAAACGAGCAAGTGGGAGGCGGAGTTTTGGCGGGAGGGGCACAAATATAGTGGCTGGCGCGCCCCACTGGCTGAGGCCCCTAGGCATATGAATCCCCTCGAACACCGGCCTCGTCACGGGAAGGACTACGACGGCTCCACTTAGAGCGTGATAGAGGATAGAATCGGATCTCCCTTGAGAGCAGCGGTTGCGCGGCGCGGCGTGCTCCCTCCCGTGCACCGCTCCTAGCACCCTAAGTTCTTAGCAGCTCCCCGAGAGTCGAGGCATGGCGGGCGATGATAGTTGCAAGAGCGTGGCAATCAGGATCCAGCAGCATTTGGTGATCCCAGACTTTTTGCAGTCGGTCAGTCTCAAGTATGTCAAGCTGGGATACCACTACGCGCTCAAGCATTTCATGTACCTGGCTTTGCTCCCACTCTTGGTGGCCGCCGCCGCCGAGATTGGACGGGTGGGGAGGCGAGAGCACATATGGCTGCTGTGGGAGAGCCTCCACCTCAACCTCATCAACGTGCTCTTCTGCTCCGCTGCCTTCGTCTTCCTGGCCACCGTCTACTTCATGGCTCGCCCCCGAAGAGTCTACCTCCTGGACTTCGCCTGCTACAAGCCCGACGACAAGTACAAGTGCTCCATGGAGGTGCTTGAGGACTTTGCTGCCAAGTCTGGCAAGTTCAACGACGCCAGCCTCGAGTTCCAGAAGAAGGTGGTGTGGCGCTCGGGCCTGGGGCCCGAAACGTACGTGCCCGCATTTGTTTTTGACGAGCCTGGCACCCAGCCGAGTATGAGGCAGGCGAGAAGGGAGGCAGAGCAAGTCATGTTTGGAGCCATTGACGAGGTGCTGGACAAGACCCACGTCAAGCCCAAGGACATTGGGATGCTCATCGTCAACTGCAGCCTCTTCAATCCAACGCCCTCCCTCTCCGCTATGATCGTCAACCACTACAAGCTCCGCGGGAACATCAAGAGCTTCAACCTGGCCGGAATGGGATGCAGTGCGGGCCTCATCTCCGTCGAGCTCGCCAAGGACCTGCTCCGAGTTCACCCCAACTCGTGTGCGCTCATCGTCAGCACCGAGAACATCACCCAGAACTGGTACGTGGGAAACGACCGCTCCATGCTCGTCACCAACTGCTTGTTTCGCATCGGTGGCGCTGCAATTCTGCTCACAAACCGGACAAGGGACCGCCACCGTGCAAAGTACGAGCTGGTTCATTCAGTGAGGACGCACAAGGGGGCCGACGACAAGTCGTTTGGATGCGTGGAGCAGAGGGAAGACGAGCTCGGCTTGCGAGGGGTATCGCTGTCCAAGAACCTCATGGCTGTTGCCGGCGAAGCTCTCAAGACCAACATCAGCACCTTGGGTCCCTTGGTCCTTCCCATCTCGGAGCAGGCAATCTTCGTGGCTCATCTCGTGGCTCGAAGGATCCTCCACATGAAGCACGTCAAGCCTTACATTCCGGACTTCAAGCTGGCATTCGAGCACTTTTGCATCCATGCTGGAGGTCGGGGCGTCCTGGACGAGATCCAGAAGAACTTGCAGCTGGGAAGCTGGCATATGGAGCCTGCAAGGATGACTCTCCACCGGTTTGGCAACACGTCCAGCAGCTCGCTGTGGTACGAGCTTGCCTACTCCGAAGCCAAGGAGAGAATCAGGCGGGGCGACCGAGTGTGGCAGATAGCTTTTGGCTCTGGATTCAAGTGCAACAGTGTCGTGTGGAAGGCCACCAGGAACCTTGACAAGCCGTACAGGAACCCCTGGCTGGATTGCCTGCACAGGTACCCGGTTGACATGTCTGCCCACGCATCGCCATCGCCCTCCTGAACGGAGAACGCACAAGTTCACCTGATTTCAGCCAGTACACAAACTTGTATTTCTAGATGAAAAAGAATACGAGCAATGAAGGATTTTACGCTACATACACTTCAGGGCTTCACGATCTCAAGAGAGGTAGCCTCAACTGCATCCAAAACAGATTACTCGAAATCAGGATGTTATGCATCACTTACATTCGCGGGAACATGCAGACCATCGCCTTCCATGGCTTCAATTTCAGCCCGCATACCGTCGATGCGGCCACACAGCTGAGACTTGTGCTCTTCTTCCTGCAAGAGTGCCGGTGCTTTTGGTTCTCACACAGGTACAAGGCCATGCTACCTCAATAAGAAGGCGCTTTAATTCTTCAACTTCTGATTGTTTCACGTCAAGCGCTCCACTTACAACCATGAGACTTGGAGGTGTAAATCTCTTCTCCCCTAGATCATCGCTTGTCCTGGAAACAGCAATTACCATCTCTCTTCTCTCTCTCTCTCTCTCTCTCCCTCTCGGTAGAGTACCTCTTGGCAGCACGAGCAATTTTCTTGTCAATGCCAGCAAGAACAGATTTGAGCTGGAACGCAAAACAGTTGATCAGAGACCCGCAGGCACGCTACTAGCTTACCTTCATCTCCTTGCAAATGGTGTCGAACTCACTCTTGAAAAAGAAGAAGAAGCAAGGAAAGGAGTAAACACTCGCCGGGGCTCAAGGAATTAAAACATACCTTCGAAGCTCTGTGCACAGCTGCCACAACCTTTGAGAAGCGGGCAGAGTAAGAAACATGGTTTGAAAATGGGGAGCAGCCTCTACTTACTTCGGTGTAGAGCTCGTAGGTGTGGCCCTGCATTTCCGGCTCCAGGAAATCGAAATGCTCCAGAAACTCCTGCCCCAAATGACAGGGTTAAAACAAGAAAGCCCTAGGCGCTAGCTCCACCTGGCGGGAGCAGGATGTAAGCAGGCAGTGCACAGCCATGGAGAAGGCTTGCTGGAGCTTGCTGAAGCGCTCACAAGCCTCCCTCCTCGCCCGCTTGAGCTGTGGGGCGCCATTCTCCATTTCTCAAGCCCTAGATTCTCTACCCTCTCTCTCTCTCTAAACACCAGCTTCCCGCCAGAGGGACAAAAGTTCAAATAAAACCACATTATCTGCTTCGAACGTGAACGTACACCTGGGGCTCGCTCACCTGGAGTGGAGACAATCCCTTTTGTCTGTGTACGGTAGGGCAAAACAATCAGTTCACTCACCAGTCTTATCAGAGGCGGAAAGGATGAAGGCTGCAAGGCTATCCTCGAGAACCCCTCCACTGCAAACACGCGCTCGAATCCAGCGACATTTGCCTGTGCGCTGTAGCAGCAAACGAGTCATTCCACTGGACACCACCTTCCTTCACTTTACCTCACAAGGTACGTGAAGTTGCTCTCACGCAGCTCGCGGGGCGTTAATCCTTCTCGCTTGGAATAACTGCAAATGCGATCGCACATTGAGGTATACAGACAGGCAGAAGTTGATCTACAATCTTACCTCCATGGCGGTCCTCTCTCGCAGAAGCGTGAGACACCCGTCATTGCCGGAAGAACATCGATATGGACAGACCTGCGAGCCTCTTGGTCGCCAGTATCTGGGTTTCGCCAGGGTTGGAAGTGAGTTACAAGTGGATTGACGAACCTAGATCATGAAGCAGTGCCATAGCTTGGCCGCCAGGATAATTTCTGTACGATGCAACTGCCGACAGCAAAGCAAACGAGAAGCTGTGTTTCTTCCCTGCTATTAGTCGCGACCACCTTGAAATCAAGCGCAATGCCCACCTTGCAGTCAAGAGAACAAGGCTGGCATTGTAGAAAAGGGACCAGAGTCGTTTACGACGATTGTTATATCTGTATGTCGAGTGTAGGCAGCGCTTTGACAGTTGAAACAGCTACTTACATGCGTGCTATGGCTGCCGCAGCGGCCAGATTAAGCATTGGTACAGCAAACAGAATGAAGCGCAGTTCCTGCGTGACAAGCATGTGTCAGTCCAGCTCGAGGATATACAGGACAAACCTTATGAGGAAGCTTGGAATAAAGGATGACAAAGCCGTATACTGGAAGCGCAAGCCTCCGAATTCTCCTGTCCAGAGCCAATCCCACCTGCATGCGATGCAGGTGACGAATAGGTGAGATAATCCAAGCTTGTCATCAAGCTTACAAATGACAATGGATAAGCAGCCAGCATAGCTCGTGGAAGCGCAGAAGAGAAATACCAGTGGAAGGGAGAGACACCCCACTCGGAACTGCGGTTCAAAACGGAATTAAACCAAAAGACTTCCCACTCGGGCCACACCCATCGTCTCCACATGATGGAGTCCACCACGAACGTTAAGCCTGCAAGGCCAGTCCCCCGTCAGCCTCGCCCACAGGAAGCCCAGTTATGCTCGTACCAGCACTTACAATGGCTGCGGGGATGCACCACTTGAGCGCATCTGCCACAGTCACGGATCTTGTCTGTCATAACAGCAGCCGCATGCATGAGGAACAACACTCGGTCATAAGATCCACGGACTCACAATGAAAAAGCTCAATCCAATCGGAGCAGCCAGAAGTATTATGTCACATCGGAAGACCACCATACCGAAGACCTGGATAGAAAAGCTTGAGAGGTTTTAAGGATAATGGTTCGACTTACCAGAGAGATCAGTGTTTCCCTCGGCTTGCCTCGGATCCAGAAATAATAGGCCACATTGACTGCAAGAATGAGGCTCAGCACATGAAAACGATTGGGACGTACCGCAGGCGAGAGCAAAGACGTTGGGAAGTGGCCGCGAACAATAGAACAAGAGGTGGAATTGCACTGCTGTGATAACTGTAAACGCCTTTGCGACCGTGCTCCCAAACTCGTTGCTGATGGCACGACGCATGAGGGACATGCTTCCCAAAACGATGCTGGCGAGCACGAGACGAACTAGCGAGCGAGGACGTGAGCTTGGCAAAGAAAGCAGCTCTTTGTGCTCACCGGCGCAGAGGGAGTAGAGCTTGGGGAGGCCAAGCAGCTTGAACAGAGTGACATACGGCGAAGCCAACGCCGACACAACCAGTGCCCCTGGAAGACACAGTGTGCTGGAAACGAAGAAGAGGAGTTCTAGCTTACCAATGAATGTCCTGGGGACAACGCCGGGAAACTCCAGGTGATCATACTGGAAAGGAAGACAAGGCTCAAGTGGCTGGACGAGTGCTCTCACTCACCTCTTGGAGATGGTAGTGATGGTAGAGAATGTCGTGCATTGCCTGGACGGAGGATTGTGCTAAGAAAGAGCCATAAACGCGAGGCTTGCCTGTGTGTTGAAGCTCTCCTCCACTTTGGTGTAGGGTGCCATCAAGACATGGAGGGCAGCGACGAGTGGCACAAGGAGGAGATCCAGGCCTTGCAGCCGGCGGCGCCACGGCGTGCGCGACTTGTCCATGCGCTCCTGCCCTAATCGCAATGACCAGTGATGCGTCGAGGGTGCGCGGCCTGGTGGCTGCGCTCAAGGCGTGTGCCAACGAGCAACGCGGGAGAGTGGTGCACGGGGACGCTGCAAGGACGGGGGACGACTCGGGCCTGCGGGTTGCCAATGCGCTGCTGAGCATGTACGCCAGGTGTGGTTGTGCCACCATGGCTCACACGACCTTCGACGCCATGCCCCGCCACACCTCCGCGTCCTGGAACCTGCTCATGCTCGCCTACGCGCAATCCGGCCACCCCGACGTGGCTCTGCGCTTGCTCCTCCATCGCATCATTCCAGCCGACAGGGTAACCTTCCTCATTGCGCTCAAGGCATGCTCTAGCCGCGCCCAAGGCCTTGCCATCCACAGGCACGCTCGGGACATGAGACTGGATTCGGAGGCTCGCGTCGCCACTGCATTGATCACCATGTACTCCAAGCATGGCAGCCTGCTGGAAGCCCGTCAAGTGTTCGACAGGGTCCGCCACCCGGACGTGGTGCTGTGGACGTGCATGATGCTGTGCTACGCTGATAACCATGAACATGGCATGGCTCTGGAGCTTCTGGGCATGATCGATTGTGCTCCCGACTCCTCGGCTCTCGTGGTTGCGCTCAAGGCCTCCTCGGGGCTGGCAGCCAAGCAATCGGACCAGCAGCAGAGATGCCTAGCGATTTGCATGGCCATCCACGCATCAAGCGGCCCACTACTTGCCAACTCTCTACTGGCCAGCAGCCTTGTGGATGCTTATGCCAAATGCGGGAGCCTGTGTGATGCGGAGCGTGCTTTCGACAGGATCCCCGCGGCCAGCCACACAGTTTACACCTGGACGTCGCTCATGTCGGCCTACACACACAACGGGGAGGAGCAATCGGCACTCGCGGTCCTGGCCGCCATGACATGCCCCCCCAATGCTCACACGCTGGCAGCAGCCCTCAAGGCGGTGGCGGAGATGGCAGTGCAAGAACAAGGCCAACTCCTTGACGGTGTGCACAACATCATCAAGCTCACATCTCTGGAGAGAGGAATGTGGATTCACAAGCTCCTTCTGGAAGCCGTTGCTGCACCCGGGCTAGATTCATCTAGTCATGTCTTCGTGGCCAACTCCTTGGTGGCAATGTATGCCAGGTGTGGGAGCCTGCTGGATGCGACGAGGGTATTCGAGCAAATGCGGTGCAGAAACACCGTGTCATGGACGTGTCTCATGTCGGGTCTTGTGGATGCGGGTGACGAGGAGTCGGCTCTGCAGCTCCTTGCGAGGATGAGATGCCAAGACGTGGAGCTGGAGCCCAATGCCCACACTCTGGTGGCTGCACTCAAGGCCGTCACCGGGCTAGCGTCCAAACGAGCGGGGAGCAGCAACATTGCGCTGCTGGAGACAGGCATGGCCCTGGAGCAGTATGTTCGCAGCAGCGCACTTGGTTGTAATCCTCGGCTTGCAAATAGCTTGGTGCTGATGTATATCAAGTGTGGGGCGTTGGGAGATGCGGCACGGGTGTGGAGGCGGGCGCTCCTGGAGCACGGCAAGGACGATCATCTGCTGCTGCCTGCTTTGACGTCGCTCGTCTCCGGCTACACGGAGGCGGGCCAGCCACTTGCAGCTCTCACTCTCTTGTTTTCGTGGCAGTTAGCAACGCTGGACGCGGGGGCCTTGGCAGTAGCACTCGAAGCCGCTGCTGGTGCTGCTGCCCTCGATGCTGGCCGCCAAATCCACGCCCAAGTCTGCAGGCTGGGATTACTAGAAGGAGGAGCGAGCAGTCGTCGGCGTTTGGAGACATGCGTCGTCGACTTGTACGCCAAGTGTGGTTGCATGCTCCGTTGTGAGCTGCTGTTCGAGTCGCTTGCTTCTCCACTTGGTGCCGCCACCCTCAATGCGTTGCTGTCGGGCTTGAGCCGCCAAGGCAACCCGGAAAGCCTTGCCTTGTGGCTGCGGCAAATGGCGGAGGAAGGGGTGGTCGCCGATGCTACCACTCTAACATGCCTGCTCGCCGCATGCAGCCGTGCGGGTCTGGTTGACACCGGCAAGTACTATTTCGACCGAGCCGGTGTGAAGCCCCAGATTGAGCACTACCACTGTCTGGTTGATATGCTGGGCCGTGCAAACCGGGTGGAGGAGGCCTTGGAGGTGGTCGAGGCCATGGCTACGCAGGGTGTGGAACCGAATGCGGTGACATGGACCACACTGCTTGCGGCTTGCACGACGTCGTCGACCTTAGCTGCTAGCGCACAAGTAGCCAAGCGTGCGTTCGATGAACTCGTGGCAGTGGAGGGCGATGACACCAAGAATGCTGCAGCCTACGTAATGATGTCTGGCATCTGTGCAAGAGAGAGCTAGCGGAGCAGAGCGGAGCTCACAAGTTTATTTAGAGAGGTGGTATACATCACTTTCTTATGCAACACCAGGCCGGGACAGTTTTTTAGTTCCTGTATCGGCACTTATTCCGGATCTCCCCCTTGTTGCCAACCAGAGGGGAAATGTTCCCCATCTTAACCATGGACACTGCAAACCTATTGAAGAAGCTCGTCTGGTCCCTGCTCAAGGCACTCACAAGAGCGGCGCTACCCTGAGACTGTGTCGTCAATACTTGGTCCGAGTTGAGGAGCCCCAGATTCGACACCACAAGCTTGTAGTAGTTGTTGTCGAAGGACCGGGGGCTGAAGTCAAGAGACTGTGTCACGTTGCCGTCTCCATTCCTGGGACACACCTGCTGTAGATTGAACAGGTAGCGCTTCTCGATTGTTGGATCAGCCTGGAAACTCCCGCTCTGGTTATACAGCCTCTGCGTGAAACTCGCGCAACGGGATGCTCCAATCGTGTGCCCGCCTGTTCCAAGCGTACACGGTCAGTAACAATTCCATTTTTCGAATCCACAACAGACCCGAAAGGACGATCATGTCCTCCGTCGACAGGCCTTTCTTCTTGAACGCCTTCACCAGCTGGGAAAAGGTGGAAGTTGGCGGCGGAATGTCCCTGTTTGCAAGTCTCTTGCTTCCGGTCAAGCTGTCTCGCCTTCCCAGCAACACCTTCCAAGATGGCCCTCCAGCCTAGCATCACACACGCCCGTCAAAGAACATAAAAAGTCAATGTATTAAAGTACCAACACTACGGACACTTCAGCTGCTACTGCCAGGATATCGGCACATGAAACAATTCCTGGACACGCACTTTCCACTGCACTCTTGATGGAATCTACAACATCAAAACCCATCAACGAGTTCAAGTTTGGCTGAGCAGTTTTCTCTCCTTGTGCTTCATCCAGCAGCACGGAGGCATCACAACCCTGTTTGAGTGTCGTAAGAAAACGTCTCTAAACTTGGGTGACTTACCTGAACAAAACAGTCGTGGAAATGCATTCTTAGAAGCTTGGCTCCAATTCTGGGATCTTTGAGTAATGCAGCTTGGAGAACACTGTCTACTATCCATTTCAGATCCGGACATGAATCATCGTAAAATGTAGGACTCAAGGTTGCACTCATTTCATGGGAGGCAGCCAACACAAGAAGTGCACTAAACCCAACCCAAGAAACCATACTTCTGCTCAGCGACTCCACTCCACTGCGCATGCACCGAGACATCCTTGATTTATACCGCTACTCAGCAAGGAACTCGTCAATGGTACGTCTAGCTAGTACTGGGTATAATATAGCTCCCCTACCAAGACTCGTCACAATGTGAGTATACAGTTGAACTTTAGGATGCTTTCTTGCAAATAAAGGTAATGAAGAGTCATCTAGACTCTCCTATGCCACAGTCAAAGTATTCCTCCACGAGCGCACCATGTGCCAGTGTGTTTTTGCTTGCAAACAACTTCCTCTAGCAGCAACGTTGATAGCCATGCCTTTTTGCTACTTTGCTAACACCTCGCTTCTATAAAGAAAAAAGAAATCTATTTATCTATCTATATGGTGTTTTGATAGTTTCGCAGTGCACAACTTGAAGCATACTGATGGATGCTTTGTGAGCTTTGTATGGCTTTGCTTTGCTGATGATGAAAGTTTGATTGCTCAAGCATACCTCTTCGGGATTTGCTTGAACTGAATTTTATACTAATCCATTTCTGCCAAGTTACCTAATTATGCTATGACAGTAATATAAAATCTAAAAACAAAAAAATGTTTGTGAGTAAAAGTATTCCCATGAGTACAAAAATGAATGCTTATATACATGAATAGATGGATCAGATTTAATCCCTATTAAACAATTCATATCCTAGACTATTAAAAATAGCATATTTACTTTGTAGTATTAGAAATTATTGAAAGAACATAGATTAAACCATAATGGCTCATCTTACTTTCTTGTGAAATAAATACTATTATGAGTACTATGGATATAGGAATAAATATATTAACTAGGGTTAGACCCTTGTTTATATATAAGAATGGATAGATCAAATTTAGTTTCAAATGGACGAATGGATGAGCTATATGCTATAGTGCATTAAAGTAATTACACACATACATATACACACACATTAAATTTTATATAAATTTGTTAGAGATACACACAAATATTATATCATAAATAAATAAATAAATAAAATTCATATTAATCCTAAGTTATATGTATACAATTCTAATATTTAGTTTACTTCTAGATTTCATTTTTAACTATATAGTATACAAAGAAATATTTCTTCTTACAATAAAAGGATTTCATCCCTTCACTATGAATTTCAAATAACATGTAAATAAGACTATCATAATATATTATTTATTTTTAAAATAATGTATTTTTCTATGATAATATATATCTATTTCTACCTATATTTTTATTATAAATATCATCTTCTTAATTTTTTATAGCCCTTATCATTCATACTCATTTATTTTTTTATATTCTAATCTCAGATACTGAATCACATTAATACTTTTATGATAAATTTTTTTTTATGCCATAATTACTATTATGGTCCCTTATACTAATAAACAAAATACTTGTTAAGGGCAGATTATTGAAAAAGGATGACCAAGAATAGCCACAAGTGTCAGTGTGCTAGAGCTTATCGGGAGTGAAAGAAAATTCAAATTAGGGCAACAAGAGCAATGGCCGAGAGTCGTGCTCGCGGCCGGCTGTGGCGGATGTCATCACACCTCAATCCAAGCGATGGAGTGTCCATGGAGGTGTGCCGTGCCAAGGGTGGTGCTACGGGTTTGAGGGTGGCCATTTTGGGGGCAGCGGGAGGCATCGGCCAGCCCCTCTCGCTTCTACTCAAAATGAATCCCTTAGTCTCCACGTTGAACCTGTATGACGTGGTCAACACTCCGGGTGTTACTGCGGACGTGAGTCACATTGATGCCTCAGCAGTGGTGAGTGGATTTCAAACTCGTTGTGCTCCACAGCGTCTATCTAATATGGCTCTAGGTGCGAGGATTCCTGGGGAAAGACCAGCTCGACTCGGCCCTGGAAGGCGTGGACCTGGTCATTATTCCAGCGGGCATACCCCGGAAGCCCGGGATGAGCCGCGACGATCTGTTCAAGATAAATGCGGGCATCGTGCGCACGCTCTGCGAAGGCATTGCGCGGGCATGCCCGCGGGCGATTGTCAACGTCATCAGCAACCCGGTCAACTCCACGGTGCCTATAGCAGCGGAGGTGTTCAAGAAGGCTGGTACTTACGACCCAAGGCGGTTGTTTGGTGTCACCACCCTGGACGTTGTTAGAGCCAACACGTTTGTGGTAAGCTCCCCCTGGATCCAACTCCACGTCCAGTCCACTGATGGATGTGGACTGCGGTTTTGCAGGCCGAAGTAGTGGGATTGGATCCCAAGCTCATCAGTGTCCCCGTGGTTGGAGGACACGCCGGCGTCACTATCTTACCCTTGCTCTCCCAGGTGTGGTTAAGATAATTAATACCCACTCTGGTTCACGCACTTTGGCCTCTTCAGGTGACGCCGGCCATTCGTTTCTCGGACGAGGAGCGACACTACCTCACCAACAGGATTCAGAATGGGGGCACTGAGGTGGTGGAGGCCAAGGCTGGAACAGGATCCGCAACCCTTTCAATGGTGCGTACGCTTTCGCTTCATGTGCTGACACCTTGTTCTGTTGCTGTTTCGCTAGGCATACGCAGCAGCAAAGTTCGCCGACGCCTGCCTGAGAGCCTTGAAGGGAGAGGATGGCATCGTCGAGTGCTCCTTTGTTGCTTCCCAGGTCAGCCAACTAGAATGAATGAATGCCCGCATCAGATCACCTCCTCGTGTCTAGGTGACCGACTTGCCGTACTTTTCATCGCGCGTCAAACTGGGACGTAATGGAGCCGAGGAGATTTTGCCACTGGGGCCACTCACCGAATTCGAACGGTAGGCCAACCGTTTGCATTCACAACTCACAGGGCTGTCTGCCTTGTTCGCATACAGGAAGGGCCTCGAGGCAATGAAGAAGGAGCTGCAGGGGAGCATTGACAAAGGAATACAATTTGCGACTTCAGCCTGAAAGCTAGAGGAGCTGTGATTACAGGTGCATAATAATAGACAATAAGAAACGGAAGTCCTTAGCTACATACCAATTAGAAACCAGAGGCTTGACAACAAATGTGCGAGAGGAGCTTACGAGGCGCCCCCGGTCTGATGGAGCATGGCGTCGATTTCGTCGCCGTCTTCCATTTCCAGCTGAGAGAGACAGGCCAAGTCAGTCGGTGCATGTGGGCGCGAGGGATTACTCTACCTCCTCGGGTGTCTGGTCCGCGCGGAGCCTGCGCCCATCAAACAAAAAGGCAATCGCATCAGCTTCCACCGACTGCCTTTGGCAATAGGCGGTCATCAGCTTCCTGAACTGGGTGTTCTTCTTGATCCTAAAGAACACCTCGTTCCCATCCTAGAGGAAACAACCGCACATAAGATAGCACGGAGGGAAGAGGATTCGACAGAGGGGGCTACCTGGCTCTTCACTTTGACGTTGATGTGGACGCCCTCGGCGGGCTTCTGCTCCTGCTTCTCCGCCTGCGGCGTAGCTGCGTCCTCCGCTTGCGACATAGCTCCCCCTCTCGCCACAAACCCTAGTCGTATTATGAGTTGGACTAGACACTCTTTAAAACAAACAAGAGAGCCGCAACGGGGGCGACAAGGGCCACGGCGAAGACTGTGTCCTCGACCCGCTTCTTCTGCATGATGCTCTTGAACGGGACATGCGACCACAGCAGCTGATACGAAGTCCTGACTCCAGAGCAATGCATCAGCGAGAGAGGCTCAGCTACAACAAAGACACTTACCGTCCAAACAAGCCGGGTAACAGCCCGCCAAGGCTTGTCAAGAGGGTCATCTGCAGGATCCCAACTGGTCCTCGAGGTAGCAGCCTGAGGTCTGTGCTCATGTCGACAATGGCATGCGCATCCTCCACTCTCCTGCGGCTGAACTCTGCCGCCAGCTTGCAGGCATCAATCGCGCCTTGTGCTGCACAGTTTCCTCAATTAGAGCTGCAAGCCTCGCCTGCGTACACGTACACGTACCGTTGGAACTGGCGAGCTCGTCCATTATACGGTCCAGGAGTAGACAGTCCTCTAGTGCAGCATTGCAGCCGGTGCCGTATGAAGGGAACTGCGACAACTCTGCGCTTTAAGCGACAAGATAAGGATATGGCGATTTACCATGGCATGAGCGGCGTCACCGACGAGCACAATATTGCGGCGGTGGAAGCGGGAGAGGACGACTGCGCCACCAAACGAGATGCGTGGCTGCTTTGCGTAATCCTCACTAAAGTCGGAGTTTTGCTGACAGAGTAAATCATACACCTCGGGAGCTGTTTCCCTGTGTATACATACAACAGAGCCATGACAAGGGAGTTGCCAATGGACTTTACCTGAAGATACGCTCAACAGCAGCGCCGCTGGTTGCGTTTAGAAGCTCCGAATTTTTGGAGCCCCCCCAAAAGCTGCCGTCTGCCATGCCAACCAGCAACATGTTGAGAGCTGGCCAGCTCTGAGACAAGGGTGCGGCTCAAATCACATTAGATTCGCTTGCAGTCGGTGGACAGACCTGGACGTAACTGTGATGGACATAGAGTGGAGAAGACTTTGCCAGTGCGGGAGAGACGTAGAACGACTTGTAGCTTTCAGGATTGCGGGTATACTTGAAAGTCAGCGAGGGAGTCCTGGACACAATAATCAACCCTTTTGCGGGGAGAACATGAAAAGCAAAGGCTTACTCTGGTCGAGTCTCCTCCAGCCTCAACATCTCGCTCCGGGTCTTGCTCGAAACTCCATCAGCCCCGACGAGTAGGCCATACTCCACCTGTATGCTGTCGCCACCTGCACGGGCACACGAAACGCATTGCGTTTCACCCTGACGGCGCTAGAAGCATACCTTCGCGAGTGGATTGGAACACTGCCACGCACTTGTCATCGTCTATCTTGGCCAGCTCATATTCAAAGTGGGTCGAGACATGGCTCGCATATCTTGGGACAGACAGGCATAACATGCATGCAGTCGCTCTATCGAGTTCGCCTGTACCTTTGGAGGAGCACGCGCTGGAGGTACCACACAAGTCCGTTCCGGCTTATACCGTAGCTGGCACTGTTCCCGTTCGTATAGGTGAACACTCTCTGCAGCCGCATCCAAAAGAAGATTCTTGATGAAGAAGTCTTGGCCACGTACCGTCTTCTTGTTGGGCAGATGCACACAGCCTCCTACGAGTGGCCCCATGAGCGAGCTGGGCACTTGCACTTGTGCTGCCTGGAGCGCCTCAATGGCCCGGCAGGTAAGTAGCATTGTGTAGGAGCGGGAATCGCTTCCAACATATCTGTCTGCAGCGGAGCGGATTGAATTTCACAGAGCAAACACAATGGTTGTAACTCTACCTGCTGTTGCAGGTGGCGTCCTCTTGTCGAACAGATGGACGTGGAACCCTCGCCTGATGCAGTAGATTGCCGTCAGACAGCCCGCAGGTCCGGCTCCCACAATCACCGCGTGCGGTGGCGAGGCCATGGCCAAAGATAAAGAGACCTAGCCAGCTAATAGCTAAAATGTCTCCCCCTCTTCCCGCCAGCGGCCGGGACGGCGACGGCGGCGACGGCGGCGACGACAGCGTGCGACAGCTGCAGGAGTGCGCACCCGTGTACGAAAGGCTCCAGGTTACATTGTTTGCATTCTGGTCGTAGCAAAAAGGATTTTGCGGTTTTGCAGGCATGCTTGATCAATACCAACCGGGACTGGAAGAATTGCCAAGATGGTTGGTTGGGTCTTTGAATGCTTGGTTTCTTAACGGGATCGCCTCTCCGTGTGTCGCAGAGGTGAAGGCGCTCAAGGCGTGCCACGAGCACCGCAGAGCATATTCCCTTGCACAAACCAGAATGGTAAAGGGGGAGTAGTTATAACGGCAGGCGGCGGCCGCGTATGATAAAACAGCAGGTCAGGTGTGTGGGGTGACCCGTTGTGACCGGTCGTGGCGCTGCCGGCCAACCGGCGATAGGCGGTCAATGTGTAATTTCAATTTAGCCGAGAGGGGAATTTTTTCTACTAGTTTAACCGCGGCCATGGCTGCATGGTGCCATGGCGTCCATGGCGAGGTCATCATGGTCATGGATGCTGGGCATCTGCACTTGGAATGAGGAGTCTGAGGGAGCTAACTTTCTGTGCGGCGGATGATACGCAGGAGCAGGAGCAGCAGCACCATGGTGTGCCTCTTGGAGTGTTTGGAGTGTGCAGAGACAAGAAAGGCAAGGAGGGTCCTGAATGAATAGCAGGACCCATGTTGGCGAACCGGCCCGTGTGTGTTCTATGCCGGACACCTACGGCCACGCGCTGTTCGCTTTGCAAGGCAGTCTACTACTGGTGAGTGATGAGAATCATGCTCTTCTTTTCCCTAGTGCAAGAAAACCCGGAATGTAGCCACATACATTGGAGTCAATCCCGTCGCCATTGGTGCTAATGGCTTGTTGGCTTGGCGCAGCACCTTGGAGTGTCAGGGGAAGCACTGGAAGCAAGGCCATCGGTTGGAATGCCCCAGAAAGGTTGTGGTCAGCAGAGACAAGAGAGAGCATGCCTTGTGTGCTCTTGACGGAACCCTTGCCAAGCCAAAGAAGGTGGGCTTTCCTCCTTCCCAGTTTCCCCCCTATCTTGGTCTCGCTAATAGAGAGCTGCCACAGATTTTATTCCCGTACAGGGACTTCCTCAAGTTTTTTAGCTGCAACATTTCCAAGGTGCCTTGCGGATTGATCAACTGCGGCAACAGGTATGTGTCTGTGTGTGTGTGTGTCTGTGGAACGGATCTAATCTTGCGATCCTCTCCCCGCCAATGCCTGCAGTTGCTACGCGAATGTGGTGCTGCAGTGCCTAGCCTCCACCAGGCCGCTAGCTGCTTATCTTCTGCATGGGATGCACCAGGAAGCTTGTGAGGTGTGCAACTTTACCGACGAGTTTCTGACTGTGCGTTCCCAGGTCAGCGGGAGGGCTGGTGTTTTATGTGCGAGCTGGAGGACCACGTCCAAAAGGCGTTCAATAACCAGATGCCCTTCTCCCCTATCAAGATCTTGTCCAGGCTGAGGAGCATAGGGAACAGCCTCGGTTACGGCAGGCAAGAGGATGCTCATGAGTTTATGCGGTGAGCTTGCTCGTTGGTGTCGTTGGTGTGTTTTTAACTCCCGAGGCACACAGGTTGGCCGTGGATTGCATGCAGAAGATTTGTCTCGACGAGGCTGGGGGAGAGACCACTCTGGATGCCCGCACTCAAGAGACAACGCTTATTCAGCACATATTTGGTGGATACCTCCAGTCCCAGGTGCGCCTCGCTCGCCTCAGCCTCGTGGCGCAGATTTGCTGATGCGCTTGGTTGCTCTTGTCCTGCCTAGGTGGTGTGTTGCCAGTGCCAGCAGCGGTCGAATCTGTACGAGAACATGTTGGACCTGAGCGTGGGTATTCAGGGGAATGTGGAGTCGTTAGAGGACGCGCTCAAGCAGTTCACGTCCCCCGAGTGGCTGGATGGCGACAACAAGTACAGGTGCGACCGGTAAGTTTCTCGATAAGCTCTCTCTTTGCAAAGCTTACCCGCCACATTCCACCACCCCAACCAGCTGCAACGCTTATGTTCGGGCAAAGAAACGCCTGTCAGTTCACGAAGCACCCAACATACTGACCATCGCCTTGAAGCGTTTCCAGGTACCTCTCTCTCTCTCTCTCTCTCTCTGCTCGTCCGCCTCGCGATCTCACTCTGCTGTGTGCAGGGCGGAAAGTTCGGTAAGATCAACAAGAAGGTCACCTTCCCTGAAGAGCTGGACATGGTCCCTTACATGTCCGGCACGGTGGATACTCCCCCAGCATACAAGCTCTATGCGGTGGTTGTGCACGTGGACATGCTCAACGCGTCCTACTTTGGGCACTATGTGTGCTACGTGCGAGCTGGCAACGGGGCGTGGTTTAAAGTCGATGACAGCAAAGTGAGTCGGCGTTGGAAGTTTTGAGTGTGCATTTCTGTTGTTATAACACAAAAGCTGCCACATAGGTGAAGGAGGTAGACCAAATCAGGGTCATGTCCCAGAAAGCCTACATGCTACTCTACCGCCGGTAAGCCCCTGCGCGCTGATATGCATTCAAGCTCAGCAAGCTCAAGCTTTCAGGTCATCACCACGGCCACGGCCCGTCGTGGATGGCGCCGCAACGCCGTCGACGTCCGATTCAAGGGGGAGCTGCCGCGAGGAGGTGACAACAGCTCACAACCACCCGGGCAGCCCAGTCAAGAGCAGGGAAAAGGTGATAGCCTCCCGCACGGGGACGAAGCAGGTATTGTTAGAGTCGTCAGACAGCTCCCTTGAATCTGGGTTTGCGAATCATATGATGAATGGGACGGCGCAGAGGGCTGGCAAGAGGAGGTGGCAGCAGGCGCACGCGAGTCGACAAGGCGGTCATAGGTCGCCATGCTCGTGCACTGATGACGCCTGCTGCTCTTCCGCCGTCCCCAAGCCAGATGAGGAGCAAGAGCAAGCTGCTGCGTATGAGTCGCCGGACAGGGAAGGAGTGGGGGATGCCATGGAATGTAGCCTCTTTCAGAGCAGCATTACGTCAGAAGACGTGCAAGTACATAACACGGACAACTTAACGCTAGTAAGCGACGGCGGTGGTGGTGGCCATGGGAATGGGGGGGTTGACGGGCAAAGAAGCCAGGATAAGCGGCCACGGACCGGCACTGCTAGTGATGATTGGTCGCCTCGGCGCCCGTTTGTGGGCGGCCTAGATTATTTGACAAGGCCTGACGACGAGGAGCTCCTCGTAGCTCCCGATAGTCTTCCTGCAACAGCTTTAGCAGGTTTGAGCGAGAATTCCAGGTCCATGTTGAGACGAGGCTTTTTGAACAGACCATAGCCATGGTCTCTTGTTTTGCCCCCTTTTTTTCTTTCGTCGCTAGTTCCTTGGAATATTGAAACCGAGTTGAGGAGTTAAGTCGCCTGAGATGAGCAGAAGGTGGTGGACAGGAGCACATAGCCCGTTGCCCCCGCGGCAAAGGCACCACCTCGGTGTGCAGCTCGAGCCGCAGTCTCCGGCTCACCATGCAACTTGCACGCAGCCAGCAGTGCTGTCCACGCGATCCCCATGTCATCGTCATCGCCAGCGGCACAACCACGGACCAGATGCTCAACCAGCTCCTCTGCTTGCCGCAGCTGCCTGCTCCGCCCTAGCGCATCCACCATGCAGCAGTAGTGCTGGATGCTTGCTTGAATGCTATAGTTTGAAACCATGCTCCGGAAGCACTGGCGCGCTGCTTCCACCATCCCTCGCTGGCTCAACCCAGCCAGGACACAGCTGAAGGTGGCACCATCGGGCTCCGCGTCACCTTCCAGGCTCATGCTTCTCAGCACTGCGTCAGCAGAGGCACAGAGCCCCGCGTCGGTATACGCTGCAATCATCCCTGTCCATGTCGCCGCATCCCTACGCTGCATGGCGTCAAATATCCTCCTCGCACTTGCTGCATGGCCGTTGAGCGCGTACGCCTGGATCATGGCATTGCACGACACAAGGTCCCGCTGTGGCATCCCGTTAAACACAGCCTCCGCTTCCTCCAGACGACCCCTGGCGTGAGCCAGAGCCGCGAGGAACGAGCTTTGTGACGCTACGCAGTGGCAAGGCATCCGACAAAAGGTGTGCCTGGCTGCGCCGACATGCCCGTTGTGGCTGTATCCACCCAAGAGCGTGTTCCATGACATGCAGTCCCGTGTCGCCGCACCGTCAAAGGTAAGCTTGGCTTGTGCCACCCTGCCCTCACGGGCATATGCTGCCGCCATGGCGTTGCAAGCCACCACATCCCGGTGCGGCATACTGTCGAACACCTGTTTTGCAGAGTCGACACGCCCACACTTGGACAGGCCCGTCATCAGTATCGTGCACGAGCTCGCATCCCACCGTGGCATCCGGTTGAAGCAGCTCGCGGCTGCGTTGACGCCGTTGGGCGCAGACGCCGTGGTAAACACCACAAGGATGGCGTTCCAAGAAGCCATGTCCTTGTGGGGCATCCCGTCAAACAACCGAGCCGCATGGCTGGTGCTCACGGGCGTGTTGCCTTTGGCATGGCTCCTCAGCAGCGCGTTCCACGCCGTGGTGTCGTGGCTGGCCATCTTCGCAAATGTGGCCTCCGCGTCGCCCGTGGCACCAGCATGGGCGAAAGCCAGCAGCATGGACGTCCAGGATATCACGTCCCTCTCAGCCATGGAGTCAAAGACGCGCTTGGCATCGTCGGGCCGCTCGCGCCGGCCGTAGACTCCAACCATGGCATTCCACGAGGCCAGGTCGTGCTGGGGCATCACCCGGGAAAACACGTCCAGCGCCTCATCCCCGCGGTCCTGCTGCTGGTCGGCCCCAATCGCGCGGAGCAGCGAGTTGCAGGCGACGATGGTCCTGGCCGGCATTGCCCGCAGCGTGCGTGCAGCGCTAGCCACATCCCCGCTGCGGGAGAGGGCACTTACCCGCGCACTCCAGGCCACGACTCCCCAGCTGGGCATCCTGGAAAAGATCCACTCCGCCACCTCCATGCAGGCGGCCTTGTGGTAGCCGGTCATGAGGCATGTCCATGACACCGCGTTCCTCAACTCCATCCTGTCGAAAACGGCCTTGGCGTGCACATGATGCCCGTTGTGGGCATACGCTGCCATGAGGGCATTCCAAGACACGACGTTGGGCTGCTCCATTTGTGCAAACACCGCCTCCGCACCGCTGCAGCTTCCGCATCTGCCATACATGCCCACCACAAGGTTGCAGACGTACGTGCTGCTGCCACCCGCGCAGCTCTTGTGGAGGCTTTCCAGCTCCAATGGCGTGCTGCACCGCTTGATGAGCTCCCCAACCGCGTGCTCCCGACCATATCGTCGCCAGGCCATGACCGAAACGAGACATTGGGGCGAGGTTTTTGTTTAGGGCTTGTGGGTGGGTGAGGACGATGTCGGGCATGGGCGATGGCTACGTCGGGACGGCGCAGGACGCCGCTCGCATCCGGCGCCTGGAGAAGCAGCGCGAAGTGGAACGGAAGCGCATCCAAGACCTCAAGAAGAAGTCGGCTGAAGGGCAGGGTGGGCTTCTGCAGTTCGGCTCCGGGACATCAGAGGTGACTTCTGTTTGCTCTCTTTTCGCCTCATTACCGGAGCTCGCCGCCACAGATTCTGGAGAGCGCCTTCAAGAAAGAGACTGTTGGGCTTGTCACCAGGGAGCAGTTCGTGGAAAAGGTAGCTGGCCTGTTTCATCACTTTGTTTCATTTGCGTGCCACTGCAGAGGGTCAACTTGCGCACCAAGATAGAGGAGGAGGAGAAAGAGAAGCTGCAGAAGCTTGCTCAAGAGTAAGCCCACATCCCATCTTTGTGGCCGTGTGTCCGAGTCCAACTGTGTTGCAGGGAAGAGGAACGTCAGCTCCAGAAGAGGAAAAAGAGACGAGCGAAAGGCCCTTCCCGCCTGTCGTTTGCGGACGAAGTCGATGGTGACACCGATGAAGACGAAAACGGCAGTGCTGGTATGGCTTTGGCAACTTCGGTCAAGTCCCCTAATGCATGAGCCGTGGCAGATGAACGGAAAAAGAAGAAGCTGGGCAAGTTCGGCAAGAATCCGTCCGTGGAGACAAGTTTCTTACCTGACAGGTATTGCTTTCACTTCGTACTCTAGGGCTGTCTTTGTTTTGTTGGGTGGATCGACTGCTAACGCGTTCTCAAGGGGGCGGAGGATGATTATTCAGGGAGCGTGAGGCGGATGAGCAAGAAGAACGCGAACGCCTTCGCAAGCAGTGGATCCAAGAGCAGACACGCATCAAAAGTAAGCGATGTTGAACTTTACATATGGTAACACCCGCCCCTGTGTAGATGAGCCGCTAGAAATAACATACAGCTACTGGGACGGAGCGGGGCACAGGCGAGTCATTCAAGTGCGCACCTCGTCTCGATATTACCCTTGCTGACTGCAGTTTCTCCTTGGCCAGGTGCGAAAGGGCGATACAATTGCTGAATTCCTACGGGCTGTCCAGCAGCAATTGGCGTCTGAGTTCCGTGAGATCCGAACTGCATCTGTTGAGAACCTGCTCTACGTGAAAGAAGATTTGATCATACCTCATGTACGTTTCCTTCCAGTTGTTGCCACTTGTTCAAGTTTTTCCCCACCTTGTTTGACAGCAACACAGCTTCTATGAGCTCATCACCAACAAGGCCAGAGGAAAGAGCGGCCCGGTAAGCCCATGGGTGTCTTTGTCATGACTTGACGCCCATTTGTCTGTGGAGGATAGCTCTTTCATTTTGATGTTCACGAGGACATTCGCACAATCGCTGACGCCACAATTGAGAAGGACGAGGTACCTTGTGTATATCGGTTTTGTATGCCGGTTGGTGACGCTTGTGCTTTGTGCAGTCCCACGCTGGTAAGGTTGTGGAGCGGCATTGGTATGAGAAGAACAAGCACATATTTCCTGCCTCGAGGTGGGAGATCTATGATCCCACAAAGAAGTGGGAGCGCTACACCATTCACGGAGACTAGGACTGGTTTTGTTTGAGGCTTTGAAAAAACAATTTATAGTGTTGCCCTAGCATCGGATAGAGAACTAGAATGGGCGACGAGTATCAAGTGGTGGTGGTCGCGGGAGGCAGCTCAAAGGATCTCTTCCCTCTGGTGTCCAAGGTAGTCCATTTTACCTGCCGCGGTGACTCTCTGCTTACATTTCCCCGTCTTGGAAGGATGTCCCTAAAGCCTTGCTGCCCATCGGCAACAGGCCCCTACTCTCCTATGTCTTGGACCTTTTGGAGGATAGCAATCTCAACAACGTGAGCGTGGTGAGTTAGCCTCTGCACTTTGTTGCGCGCCCTTATGTCTGTGTCTCTGCCCAAGGTGGTCGCGGGCCATGAGTCCGGTGTTAGAGTCGGCAGCTGGATAGCGGAGGCTTATCACGATCGCCTGCAAGTGGAGGTGAGCTGTGTAATTGGCGGCTTCATTGTCATTCACTGGGCGGGTAGGTTTCCACGGTCTCGGAAGAAAGTGGGACAGCGGATGCCCTTCGCAGCGTGGCTCATCGGCTCAGTAGCGAGAATGTCTTGGTAAATGTTGCCAGAGGTGGCCAGCGGTTTGCTCACTATAAGCGTGTAGGTTGTTAGCGGCGACATGGTATGCGATGTACCACTGGGAGCCATTGCATCATCTCACAAGAGGCAACGAGCAGGGCTGACTGCTCTTTTGTGTCCGCGCACTCCAGGCGAGGGATGTGAGGCCAGTGCTGGCGGTGTAGGCACCAAAGAAAAGGCCAAACAACTGGCTGCTGCCGATGTCATTGGCCTCGACTCTGCCCGCCACCGTTTGCTCTACGTGGCTTCCGGCTCACAGCTAGGAAAGGAAGTTAAAGTTCCGCTGTGCTTGATGAGAGAAGCTGGCCAGGTTAGTATGTTATAGTATATTAACGCACGGGAGCTAACTTTGTCACTGTTGCCCAAGGTCGAACTTCATACTGACCTTTTGGACGCGCACCTTTACGCCTTCAACAGGTTTGGTTCAGCGCAGCTAGATTCTTTCTTCTTATCCCATACAGAGAGCTTATGCTCGAGGCACTGGAGAGAAACGAAAAATTCAAAAGCATAAAAAGGGACCTGGTTCCTCACATTGTGCGATCTCAGCTGGTTCGTATTTACATAGATGCTCGATAATCTTCACTTACGCTTTCTCTTCAAGAAACATGGAAGGGTGGAGGGCACATTATCATGCTCTGCTTATGTAGCTGGAAAGGCTAGATATTGTGCGCGGGTAAACACTATAGAAGCGTATGGCGACATAAACAGAGACGTGAGTCAAATGCACCCGGAATTGTTTTGTGCACTGACCGCTCTCTAGGTTGCAGGAGACGCGATATACCTCACCGGATACACGGTATCTGGCATGAACAACGTAATTCACCCGAGTGCTCAAACGGGTGCCAAGACGGCTGTAAGATGCCTTCAAATTGTTACTCCTTATATGCTGATTTCAATTTTACAGATTGGACCGCAATGTATAATTGGCGAAGGTTCGGAGCTTGGGGAGAAATGCAGCGTCAAGAGATCTGTTGTTGGACGCCACTGTAGAATTGGATCCAATGTCAAGGTTGTTTTTTTCTTTTTTTTCTTTTTTTTCTTTTTTTTCTTTTGTTTTGAGCCCGGTTTGTGTCCAGGTCATTAACTCGGTTGTGATGAATCATGTAACCCTGGAAGACGGATGCTTGGTACAAAATTCAGTGATTTGCAGTAATGTTTATCTCCAAGAGCGTGTCACCCTCAAAGATTGCCAGGTGAGGGACCACAATGCAACGCTTATGGATCACAGCTTATAAGTCTGTTGTGTAGGTGGGCTGTGGCTACGTCATTGGTGTGGGTGCCGAGCATAGAAGCGAGGCATTAGCAAAGAAGGAAAAGGTATGACTGGTACTAGTATTTCTTAGGCTAAAACTCTTCAAAATGTTAAATTCAATAGCAAAAAGAGGATGTTTGTATATTGCTTATTCAAAAATTATACTTGTTCGCGCAACAGAGCTGGGGTCTAAATGCTAATGAGTAACTGTATTACTATTATCTTGCTTGGTGGAGTGATGTGATAGAAATATACATTCCAGATGCCCATCAACTATCAGTTCCTTCAATAATTATTGAAATGAGGTCTTATAGGATTGTTTTATGTAACAAAGAAATTACATTTTTCTGAGAAAATAATTCATAACATCCTATGGTCCAATAAAGACCTTTCCATTCTTTGGCTTGGGATGGAAAAGAAAAGCATGTAAAAGGGAGTCATGCAGCTTTACTGTCAGATTGTATGTTAAGTTAGGCTCTGTGAGTCAGAATAGGAACCGTAATGACAATGTTTATGGTGCCCAACTTTTGTTTATGCAACCGAGCATATTCAGCTTTCTGTCTGCTGTTCTCATCTGGGGAATGTGTTTACTGCTGGGTAAGCTGTAACTTCTTTAATACCTTTTCTCCTTATCTGTGTTTTAGATACAATCGATGCATTTGTCTATTCAAGCCAGGAACAACAATGACGCACTTGACTGATTCCCATGAAGTACTGCACCTTCTGATTCTATATAGGTTTTACCTAGCATTAGTTGATTTTTGTAACTGGCATCTTGCGTATAGGGAGCAATAACTGCAGTTCTTTAGCATTATATACCCAAAACAAATTTGGGAATGTATTTGTGAATCAAAATAACTAGCAGACCTTGTCATGTCTGCTGCGCTGCACATAAATACTTTAAACGTCGCAGCATGTTGAAAAGCACAACTTACTTTCTCTACCTATAACTATAAGCACTTGATTTCAGATCAACCCTGAAATGGCATTGTTTGATGGGAGTTTGTCATGGTGGATTGGAACATGGCAACAAGTTCAGCATGGACTGAAATTGCCACCCTTATAACCTGTCTAGCATATGCTACCCAATTAGTAAACATTGTTTTGATTGTTATATTTTTGTTATTGGAAACTTGTTTATTACAAGCATTGCCTAAGTCAAGTCTTTCTTCTTTGGATGCCTAAGTTTAGGCATAATTCTATTTTGCCTAAACTTTCTTCTTTTGCTTTGCTTGGGAAGATACACAAGATAAAACATTTACCTCTTTATTACTCCTTCACGATAAAGTTACTGCTTGTCCTTAGGCAGTTGAATTCTCTAAATCCTACTCCAGGCTGTTGAGCTAGAATTCTAGAATTCTTTCCAATTTTTTTTTTTAAAAGGGAATTCTAGAATTCTTTCCAATGTTTTTTTAAAAAAATATTACCTTCAATCCACATCCACTCTAATTCATTCTCATTTAATCAAAATTACAAAATCATAGCATGATAGTCGGGCTTTAGGTAGGTCAAGTTGTCTCCTCGTCCAGATGTGTAGTTAAAGAGGACGTATTAATTGGGCATGCAATCCTTCTTGCTCATCATGATTATTTCACCCTTTTTATCTAGGCAAAAAATATGAGTAAACTGGGTGAGTCCAAAGGGATGGACTTGCTCGCAAAAAAGAAATACATACTCTATTGGGTATCACTTCTCCATGAGCTTGATCCCTTGCTCAATTAATATTTTTCCTTCGAATAACTCTTCATAGGTGAGTAATCCAAAACCATCAAGCCAAGATTTATCACAAAGAAAAAGCATAAGATCCCTAAACAACTTCACTTAGTTATAGTCAAGCTCTTTGTCATTGGATGAAATTTCCTTCATATGCTCGTCTTGCTTAGGCATTGTTGCTGCCTGTGGAGATTTGTACACAAAACACTCGGTGTTAGACAATCGGGAGATGAAGTGTGGTGCTGACATAGGTGCCCAAGTGAGATCTTGCATTGACGGTGCTTCAAGAGTGGAGTCAACGCCCTGTGGTGGTGGTGTGAGGACAAGATCACTCCACCCAATAGAATACTGTCAGATTGCTGCTATTTGTCGTTCATCCACCATGCCACATGCCGCAAAACTCTCCACCCTAAACAGACCTAAAAGAACTGAGCAGAATATATGACGCAACGTTGTACTGGTCTTAAAACGGGTGTAAGCCCAGGCAAGGCATGTTGGGAGAGGTTATGGAGCTTACCTCATGGCTAATCCAGTGATTGAACACTCAGCTCTCACCTCTAGGTCAAGTTCCCTCTCAAACCAAGCCCTAGATCCTCCATTATCCCCCTCTCGCAACATGAAGCTCTCGCCCTTTTCCTTCAACCTTGCTTCACACTGGCCTAATGATCAGTTTGGGCCGCTACAGCATACTATATGGAAAAGACAGTCACTTCTATTATCTCTTCTAGCCCTTGAGGCTCTTTATACATGCGTACGATAATTCCACGCCTGAGATCACGCCTTGTATTATGCAGTCTTGCTCCAACATTACAGTTAGAAATACAGGCGGCTACTGCCTCTTCCCACAATGCAAAAGTTGGTGGCCCACAGGAACTCTCTACTGAATCTGACGGTATCACTGAAGGAATTCAGTGAAAATAGAAGTGGTGTAGCTTCTGGTATGCAACCTCATCACTTGCTCCCACCACCATTTTGGTTGAGAACTATTATCCTCAATGGCGATTGGCTGTGAAGATCCACTTTTCAGGGACATTGAACTATTCATTTATACACATTTTGTATAGCACACCTCTGAGATCTTCAAGTTTCTTGGAGAGGAAATGTTAAGATCCAAAAGAAAGAAACAAGCAAAAACAGTTTTTCTGTCTAGCTCATGCGAGATGTGCTCATATTTATTAGAACGAGCAATTATTTATACTTATGTTTAAAATTTCTAGAGGCACATCTTTCATGGTGAGTCAGTCTCAGTACAACTTTATGACTGCGGAATATCTGGGATTATGAGCAGGTCGCACAAGGTTCTGGATTATCCTGAACTAAAAACGCACTCTTGACAATATATATAAGAGAACATGAATCTTACATTTGAGTGGGCACCAGAGCATAACCTTTCAAAATCCCTGATATTATCAATCTGGAAATAGGACACTAAGGGATGAGTCTCATTTCAATTGGAAAAGAAATAGAGATTGTATAGCACATTTCTCATTTTCTAGTTTTGTCTGAAACAGTAAATGCTCAGTTTAGAATCATCAGACTGATTTTGACTTCATCATGCGAATTTGAGCATGTCATCGGAAGTGATTGTTGGTACCCTTGAATATTGCCTTGGGACACTACAAAAACTGGTTCCACTAAGTCTCCAGTTTTATCAGGAGATTTTTTTTGCATGAGTCCATTTTTCAAGATGTTCGATAGACTCCTTGACCATACTTTTTGTCCACCCACATAGAATGCATTTTAAACTACAGAAATCTACAACTAAACCTCTCTAGTATGTCACAAACAAGCCTGGAACATAAGCTGATAAGTATATAGGCTGCTAGTAACGTTTTGCTAGTTGTGCTTTTAAACGATTTGGACGCCATGCCAGTTGTCTTGGCATCTACGAATGTGGACGTTCATCCATTGGAGATGTTCCGTACTTCTCTCTAAGTTTTCCTCCTCTTCAAAATAGGGTTGATGATTGCAAGGCGCTGGTGAAAGGCGGCGGGAGCATGCCGGCAACGAGCAGTTTTTTAGATCTTCTGGTCGGATGTGAAGCACGTAGGGTCGGACACCTGCAATCCCTTGTGCTATATAGCCAAATGTGGAGGAGCTACTGGTGACAAGCACGTCACTGAATCCCAAAAGCCACATCTCTGCTAGTGCATTTGTTGCCTGTTGGATCGACTCATTCTGGACGCCTTCTTGTGAGAATGTGTAGATCTGGACGAGGCTTCCATCCACAGATGGATATTTTAGGTACATCTGCTTCAATTCCTGAAAGTATCGGCCTTGCAATGAAGCGACAAACACTTTGATCCTCTTGGGTGGATGTGCTGATATTATCTCTGTTGTCGAGTTCATCATCATCGGCAGGAACTCTTTTCCAATGAGACATTCCAAGATCCGATCGAACGACCGCTGATCAAATTCTCCTGGATCATCACGGTGATGGAGACGGATCTGTATGCCCAGCTGTTTACCTGGGCCAGAGAGATATGTGGAATCGAAACGAACAATCTTTTCCCATACGTGATCTTGAGGTAGAAGAAGGTATCTGGTTAAGTGAGTGAAGGCCATCCTCACATCGGGAAACAGTGACATGAGCGGCTTCCAAAACTCTGGGAACGTAAATAGCCGAGGGACAAAGTATAGATTACTCGTCAAGGAAATCCAGGTGACATTCTTGAGCTTGGAACGGACTTGGTGATGGAAAATATCTTGGTCCCTATGCAGGCTCGCCACCCACACATGAACCATGCTCCCAAATTTTTTGGATTGGACAGCTTTTTCAAGGGACTGTGCTTGGTCCAAATGGAAGTGTGGGAATTCTTGAGGGACCAGCCACGAAGAATTGGCAAAAGGCTCACAAAGCAGTTTCGCAGACTGGCCCTTGGGATCTATGAGGAGCACTCTGTTGGTAAGCAGGGAGAAGACAAATGTGGAGACCAAGCCCAGGAGGCGATTTCCCAACCCATCAAGTTCGTAGTGCACTAGGTATTTACAAGAACCTCCCGCCGCTGGGTTCGTGATTGACTGCTTCAGGCTGTGATAACACTTACTGTGCATTTTCTCATATTCAGCTAAGGCACTGGAAAATGCTGGTGGAACGGATAGCACGCGGGAGGGTTTCATCATGTAGCTGTGGTGTGACCTGCTTACGCAAATAGCATTTTGGCTCATGTGCTGAAAACTGGGAAGGCGTGTTGATCTTCTGGAGAATATCATGACAAACAGCATTGCGGTAATCACGCTTGACAGAAGAGCTCTGGATGCCATTTCTTTGTTGACACCAAAACCAAGTCAGAACAAGAGCTCGCAGTTAGTTACTTTCGTTACGATAACTACCTTTTGTCAAAACTGCGGGAACCCATCAAGTGAACATGAGAAATTGCCACCGCAAAGCCATGCTACTAGCAGCCACCACTTTTGTTTTTGTAGCATATGACGTGACTTTACTCTGGCGTGTGAACTTCAGTGATAGTATTTTCTACAGCAGAATCATGCTGCCCAGCCGCTTGTTGTTGCCAAGGGACTCCACGGGTGCCAGCTTTGTAAGTTTTAAATAGATATCTCCCTCTGATTTCTGATTTAATACGAGTCAGTCGTGCAGAGCAAACATGATAAGCGGCTCATGGATAATGTCTTACGCAGGACTGCATTCCGGAACAAGACGGTGATTATCACCACTCTAAACCAAGCATGGGCTTCCGAAGATAGAATGCTCGACCTGTTTATGGACAGCTTCCGCAACGGGGATGGCACTGAGTCCTTCCTCAATCATCTCTTGATTGTTTCTCTAGACAAGGTGTCACAGGACCGCTGCCTTGCCATCCACAAGCACTGCTTCCCTTTGCGAACATTTGGCATCGATTTTAGTGAAGAGAAAGTATTCATGACTGATGACTACCTTAATATGATGTGGAGAAGGATTTACTTCCTGGGAGCTGTTCTTGAGCTCGGATACAACTTTATCTTCTCGGTAAATAGCTGTGGCATTCTTCTGCTGAGAATGTAACTCTCAAGCTTTGTAGGATAGTGATGTTCTGTGGTTTAGAGATCCGTTTAAGCACTTTGATCCTCGCGCTGACATCGAGATTGCCTGCGATCACTTCCCAGATCATCACACGGACACTCCAATAGCAAATGGTGGTTTCATTCACGTCCATTCTAACAACAGGACAATAGAACTCTATAAATTTTGGTATAAAGCTCGCATAATCTTCCCTCACAAGCATGACCAAGACGTCCTCAATGCGATGATTTTTAAGGATGAGTTCTGGGCTTTACGTGTGAAAGTCAGGCTGCTGAGGACGAATGTCTTTGGGAGTTTTTGCCAAATGAAGCACAGCATTGATGAAATATGCACAATTCATGCCAATTGCTGCATTGGACTCCAAAGAAAGATCAGTGACTTGAAATTGGTGACGAATGACTGGATAAACTATTTGACCACGGTCCCACAAATGGGAAAGAATTTTCGCTGGAGTGCTCCGCTGGAGTGTCTTCATTCTTTTGACTAGTTTCTTGACTGACACCGAACAGGCTGAGGTCCCATTCATTAACGGAATTAACCAGACAAATCATTTCACCAATCTATTGTTATTATTGGTCCTACAGCAGATTATGAAAGGCTATGAAGGGAGGTGATTTTCCTCACTTTGATACTGTTAATGTACTCTTTATTTAGGTTCATTATTTGATGCCTATAGCGTTTATAGCTGGCCTGATAAACATCAGATAGCATTTTTGGAAATCAAGGAGCCATGCAAAAGTCTTTCTATGTTTGAACTGTCAGAATCCGTTGCCATGCACTGTTAGCTTTCAAAGAAAGGAATCTGATAACATTTTAATAAAAGAAGAAGAGGTACCTGTACACTTGTTTTTTGGTTAGAAATCACTACAGTTATTGTCAAAGATGGTAAATTTTTGTCCTTAGTCAATCCAGTTTGACTTGGTAGACTGACACCTACAAATTCATTTTTATGGAAGTTTCTGCAAATACTGTACGGCCCTGCTTGAATCCTTAACCATATTCATATGTGTACCAGAAAGTTGTGGTCATTTTGTCAGTTTATGCAGATTTTTTCTTCCTGCTTTTTTTGCTTTAAGTGAAATCAGTTTCACCAAATTAAATTAAACTTTTTTCATAAAATAGATTTTCTTGCCAAGCAGGATCAAAAGGTGGCTGTCCCTTATAAAAACACTTTTGGACCAGGGCTTGGATGGAATAACCTATCATAATTTTCATGCTGTAGAAGGGGTGATTGTATTGTGCTTGGCAAGTCCACATCTTTCACAAACCCTGTTGAAGATGGAACCAGAATCTTGACAAATACATTTTGTAAGTTATCTTCACTTTTGAAATCGTGATTTTAATGTGTAACATTTCACAGAACTATGGGTGTTGTTATTATTTTCTGTTTTCGGTCTACAGAAGTAGAAAAGCTCAAAATGAGGGTAATTTATAATCTCAGGTCATGTCCAATAAATCAAATTCAGATGGAAATCTGAAAGTACTCTTCATGTCAAGAACAAAACGGTACTTGACACCAGACTTGCACAGTCGCTTCATTGCCTCATTTACATAATTCATTGGCACTAATTCGATCATAGAGGTGACATTCTTAATGCCACAAAAGTTTAGCATATCCTGTGTTTCTTTGATGGATCCAATGAAGCTACCAACGGCCTGGACAAAAAAAAAAGCTATTATTTGAAATTCAACTGTCTTGCAGCATTTACCGAAAATAATCACTCCAGCAGGAAGGTCGAGAGGCATATGTGGCAAGCCAACCATGACAATTTTACCATCAACCTTTAACAACTCACACACACATCCAAAGGATGTGGAGCTGAAACAGTGTCAAGTATGTAATCAAGGCTCTTTTCTGCATTCTGTGAATGGCAAGCACGACAAACTTAATGCTAAAAAAGTTCTGATGTACCTTCATTTGGGCTGGATCTCTGCTCACAATGAAGTTGTCAACACCCAAAATCTCGCAGGCTTCTTTTTCTTTGAAGGGTGAAGTACTAATCACCATAACTGTCATACCAAAAGCTTTTCCAAATTTTACCGTCATATGACCCAAGCCACGCAACCCAACAACCCCAAAATTTTTGCCTGGCTGAGTCAAACCAAAATGCTTCATTGGACTATAGACGGTAATCCCAGCACACAGCAGAGGTGCTGCACCATCTAGAGAAAGATTTTTTGGAATTTGGCAGATAAACCTGGCATAATATTTTGTTAAAAAATAGATTAATCCCAAAGGTAACTTATTTCTCATCTGACACCATGAATGTAGAGTATCCTCCTATTGTAACTTTTTCTTCTTCAAGACTATTGTAAGTCCAAATGAGACCATTGCAGTATTGTTCGTCACTGTAGGTGCAGTGTTCACACTTCAAACAAGAGTACACCATGCAGCCAACACCAACATGATCTCCAATCTTGATTTTTTTTGCATTTTGACCGAGCTTGGTGACTATCCCAACAACTTCATGCCTGGGTAAAATCCAACAATTTTTTCAGATTTTTTCTTGTAAACAATGCCTTCAGAAAATTAGTGTGTGGCACTCGTCATCTTAAATTTTCGTATCATTTGACTCCCATCACCACTCACTTACCTGGGAACCTGTAAGGAACCAACTCCCTAAGGTGTCAAAGGCTAAAGGATCCCCGAAAACACGACCAAAATGATAAAGAGTTCATCAAGTGAGACCGAGTTTGAGATCGAGTTCAAGACTGAGTCCAAAACTAAGTTTGAGACCGAGTCAGAGATCTGAGATCGGGTCTGAGACCAAGTCTGAGATCGAGTTTGAGACAAAGTCCGAGGTTGGGTCCAAGATTGAGTCCAAGATTGAGTTTAAGACCGAGTCCGAGGTTGAGTCCAAGATCAAGTCTGAGACCGAGTCCGAATACTAATACAGGTTGTGGGGTGAAAGCCCAAAGCGTGTCTCTCTTGGGGGTTGGGGGGCTGGAGGGGGTTCCAAAAGTATAGTAGGGATAGTAAGGTCTAAGAATCAGTCTTGAAGGAACTTTTCAGTGGTGCTTCCAAGCTTATTTGAGGTTGACACTGGGGCTGAGAGGCCTTGGGTGGGAGTGAGCATCGACTCGAGTGGTGCCGGAGGGGCCACCCAAGGAAGTGCTCAAGAGCAACTGCCACTCCCGGAAGGGAAACCGACTGTAGTGCTCTAGGCTCATATGGAGTGGTGCCCCACTTGAATGCCTTGTAGCTCATTGGTCCTCGCCCTTCCTAGGGGCTTGGGCTTTCCCTTCGGGATGGAAGTGGGGGAGTAGGGGTACCCATACCGGGCCGTTAGGCCACAGTGTTTCGCCCCGACATCCCGAAGCAAGTGCTGCACCCAAGACTTGGGATTTAGAGGGTCCCATGATCAAATTTTGTTGTACCAAGGGATGTTAAGAACCTAGTGGCTTGGTGTGTTTGGCTACTTGTGCCTACAGGGAGTGTAGCCAAACCTTAAGTCTAGTCTAACCCGAAGAGGGGGATTGGGAGAGATTTGGGAATCCATGGATGGATGGCTAATGCTCCGTTACTTGTGCAATGAGTAGCTAAAACTAAGTAGGACCAAGTAAGAGCTGGTAAAATAGGTGGGAACCTTGGCAAGGGAACTTAACTAAGGCCAAGGCAATATTGGTCAAATAGACCAGGTAAGCTGGCAAATTGGAAAAGAAAAATTTGTAGCTTATAGTTTGGTATCAGAGCCTTTTCCTCAGTTCTAGGAAAGGATAGAGGTGGATTGTTGAGAGATGGCAAAGATAGGGCATAAACCAATTAAGGCAGAGACAAAACCTCCTCTAGAGCTGGAGCCTCCAGTTGAACAAGAGGCTATGGATGAGGAATCCTTGCATGAAGAAGACTCTAGTGAGGAAACTTCTAAATAGGAGTTTGGTGGTGAGGTTCAGTTATCCAAGGCTTGATTCTAGGACAATTGGCTCAAACAAATGCCCTACTAGAGGCTCTTGCATGCAAGCTAAAGTGTGATGAGAAGCGGAAGAAAAAGTGATATATTGCAGATGTTGGCAGTGTAAAAGGTGTGGACTGTGGGGACTGAGGCAAAACGAAACAACATCGAATAAACAAAAGTGGAATCAGTCTCTTAAGCAATTCCCAAGTATAAACCAAAGCCCTCACTAGTCTTCAAGGGAGTGAATGACTATAAGGTGGTGGAGGATTGGTTTTATGATATGAAGGATTACTTTCGAGTGTTGTGGTTACTGAGCTCAAAGAAGGTTTCATGTGCAAAACCATATT